TCGGGACAGTTTCCGGCATTTTACTTTTTTACTGTTAGACGAGGCCATCCTTGAACATCCTTGATGCTGACTGATGTACAGTGTCATCTGAGGACAAACAGGTTAGGTATTTATCCCAGTCTTCATAATTTGGCTTGTTTGGATTTTGTTTTCAGAAATTAATGCCAGCTCTAACACTAGATGGCGCCAAAGTTCAGATTGCCTTTGCAGTCCTAAAGGCAATCAGAGTAGTTTGGGGTTATCCAAACTCAACTGATGAGTTTGTTTCAGACTCAATTAGGGAGCGCTTATAAAAGGTAGCTCACCCACACAAACCTCTACCTGGGTCCTGCATAGGCCTACATGTGCTTTCCAAAGCCATCAGCCTGTGGTCATGAACTGTAGAATTCTGTGAAGGGAATCACAGAGGGACCAGCCCTGGGTTCCTACTCCAGAACTGTAGCTATAAATGACACAGTGCGGAGCCCACTACTCAGGACGAACACAACACTGGGGTGAGACCATGTCCTGTACTGCAGTGGCTGCCAACCATTGCTGGGAACTCAGCCCTGACTGGAGCAGAAGTTTGCTAGACTAGGGCAGCAACTCTTCCCCCGGCACTGGAACTCTTCAGAAACCCTGTCTTCAGGCAGGACTCAGATGGGGACTGTTAAATTCTGTCTGCCCAGTGTGGAGTTGCAGAGTCCCAACACTAAGCCCCAAGGCAAAACTGTGCTTTTACCCCCTCCCACCTGAAAAGCAGAGGCTGAGTCCTTGTGTGCTGCCTAAGGTTTGAATAGGGCTGATGAATCAGCCCTTTGGCCACCCAAGATGGCACTAACCCGTGTCATATCTGGCTTTCATGGGCACAGTTTACCTACACAGACTCAGGGGTATACAGAGGTCCATGCCAGAACTGACAGTAGTTAAGTCCATCATAATAAGTATAAAACTGTCGGGTGTCAAGGTCTTGAGTTCCATCAGCAATACCGACCCAGGATAGTTGTGCTGTCCCTTAGGGCAGTGGTTCTCATCCTTCCTAATGCTGTGACCCTTTAATACAGTTCTTCATTTTGTGGTGACACCACCCCCCAAACCCCCAACCATGAAGTTATTTTCATTGATACTTCATAACTGCAAATTTGCTACTGTTGTGGACTATAATGTAAACATGTTTCCCAATGGTCTTAGGTGACCCCTGTGGAAGGGTCATTGACCTCCAAGGGGGTCAAAACCCACAGATTGAGAACCCCTGCCTTAAGGACTATTAAGGCTGGCCTGAGCTCCAAGGCAGAGTCCTTGCTTTCATGCTACCCAGTAGGTGGAGTCCTGCTTTCCGTTCTACTAGCTGAGGTTGTGGGGGAAGAGTCCTAACCACAGTCTTGGCCATCTGAAGATCACAGGTCCAGCAGCAGCATCTTCAGATACAAGCCATAGCCACAGATGCACAGGGTTGCACCAGCACTTAGATCACTGGGCTGTTCATACTGTTTCAAGTCTGAGGCCAGGACTTAATTCCTTCTCCATCCCCAAAGTGGAGGTATCACTGTCCATGAAGCTGGGGGTGGGGGCAAAACAGGCCTCAGCATTTTTTTCAATGTGTCTTTTCCTTTTATACTAACATCAGAACACTACGGGAGGTCTTTCACCTTACTTCTTTAGTTAGCTCTTGCGAAGGTAGTGTGGCACATGAAACTCCAGCAGAGGTGCCCGCCCTCATGACATTATGACATGATGTTGTTATCTATAAACGTGTTGGGCCTTACCCACAGTTATGCTGGGATGCACGGTACCCTAGTGCCATAGGCTGAACACAGCAGGTAGTTACAGGAGGTAAATGGTATATGATCTTACCCAGCTGCCATCTTGTTCTGCCTCCTGAAAGAGGACAGCATTTAAACCCACTGGACGGCCTTTATATCATAAAACAAACACCTCCAGGCACCATGTGCTGCCTGATGTATCACAGTACAAAACACTACATGTAGAGGTGTGATCTCAAAATGCAACTTTAAATATGATCAAACTCTTAGATTTAACTCCCAGTGCATGGCAAATCAAAGAAACAGAGGATGTTATTAAGTTTCACCACAGGTGCAGAGTCAACAAAATACAAAATGCAGGAAATGTGAACTGGGAAAAAATATCTCAGGAGGTAAGAGACAAACCAAATATAATGTGTAGATCCATACTCCATCCAACTATAAAACTTGTAATACAATTCAAGAAATTGGGCCAAGCCTGATAGCTCATGTTTTTAATCTAGCATTCAGGAGACAGAGGCAGGCATATCTCTATGAGTTTGAGGCTAATCTGGTCTACAGAGCATGTTCCAGGCCAGTCAGGGCTACATAGTGAGAACATTTGTTTTGTGTGTGCATGCACATGCATATGTGCACACTTTTATGTGTGGGAGCATGTGTCTATGGTTATATGCATGGAAGCTTTGAACAACCTCATGTGTCTTTCCATGGGAGCTGCCCACCTTGTTTTCTGAGTCTCTTATTGATCTGGAGATTGACAAGTTGGCTAGCTTAGCCAGCCAGTGAGCCCAGGGATTCCCCTGTCTCTATATATCCAGTATTGGGATAACAAAATCATGCTATTAAGAATCCGGACTTTTAAAAATGTGGTTTTGGGGGATTAAGTTCAAGTCTCTGTGATTTTGTGGCAAGCACTTTACCAACTGAGCTATCTCCACATTTTCAAGAAATGTATTAACTGATTAGATACTAAGTTATATTAAGCAAATATTAGTGCTTTAAATTTGATGATGTGAAGGTTATGACTTAGAGCAGTCTTTTTATTTTAGAAATGCAAAGATGTGGTTATAGATGAGACAAGACTTGTTTCTGTGTTTATTGGTTTTTTTTAATAAGTAATAGAAACATAGAGGTTCACCATACTTCCTACTTCTTCATGTAGCTAAAACAGATGAAAAAACTAGGTGTGATGATTCATGCTGTACTACTAGCATTTGGGAGGCAGAAGCAAAAGGACCACGCCATCCTGGGTCACAGAGCAAGTTATGGGTCAGTGTTCTAAATCATAAAGGGTGAATGGGGGAAGGGAGACACTGAAGGATGTAGTAAGTTTAGCAAAAGCAGCAGGGTGAATCGGCCTCTGACTGACTGCCTAGCAACTTTGCAGAAGCACTTTTAGTTGATTACTACACAAAAGGCCTTTTAGCAAGGCTATTCCTGCATACCCAAATCTCTTCTCTGATCTAGGGGTTGTCCGAAGGAACCATTACCTAAGCCAACACAGTCATTATAAGAATTCTAGGGGGCTGGAAAGATGGCTCAGATGCTAAGAGCACTGACTGTTCTTTTAGAGGTCCTGAGTTCAATTCCCAGCAACCACATGGTTGCTCACAACCATCTGTAATGAGATTTGATGCCCTCTTCTGGGTGCAGGCATACATGCAGGCAGAATACTATACATGATAAATAAAATTAAGAAAAAAAAAAGAATTCCAGGTTTGCCAGGAATATCTTATGACTGAGATCACACTAAAGTTCTGAAATTCCCAAGAAAGAGAAACTTCATAAAGCTCAGATAGCAATCACTGCCTATTTACCAGAGATTACTTCAAGGCCTAAGTGGCCATCACTCCATAGTAAAATGTCAGGTGTAATGGCTCTTCCAGTTTTTTTCTCTACAGACCTTACCTAAAAGAGAAAGACATAAAAATAAAAACCAAATAGTGCAAAAATGTACTCCCCTCCCTGACTTTTGCTGATTATTCTTGTTTGCCTCTATGACCAATTCATTCTCAAACTTTTCTTTAGAGGTTTCTCTATCTAGCCATTAAATATTAGTGTATGTGCTGGTGTGTGTGGTGTGTAGGGCTTTTTCTTTATCAGTGATTGACAGGGATAGGTCCAGTCCACTGTGGGTGGGGTCAGCACTGAGCTGGTGGTTCTGGGTTCTATAAGAAAGCAGGCTGAGCAAACCATAGGGAGCAAGCCAGTAAACAGCACTGCTCCGTGACCCTTTCATCATCTCCTACCTCTGGGCTCCTGCTCCATTTGAGTTCCTGTCCTGACTTCTTTACATGATGAACAACAGTTAGACAGAAGTGAAAGTCAAATAAACCATTTCCTTCCCGACTTGATTTTTGGTTACGGTGTTTTGTCACAGCAATAGAAATCCAAACGAAGACAGTGTGTCTTAAAATTTGTTCTCACTAGGTAGTGAGAACACCTTTAATCCCAGAACTCAGGAGGCAGAGGCAGGCGGATTTCTGTGAGTTCAAGGACAGCCTGGTCTAAAAAGAGAGTTCCAGGGCATCCAGGGCTGTTATACAGAGAAAACCTGTCTTGAAAACCCTCCAAACCTTACCAAAATACTTTGTGCAGACTGTGTGTTTGCGTCGATTTGAGGAAAACTGCTGGAAAGAAGGGAGCCCATAGTCTCTGAAAGCTTCTTTTAGTCTAGAGTCTAATTAGTCAAAGCATTAGAAGAAAAACAACAACAAAAGCCCAACAGGGAGAAATCAATGCAAGCTAACAACGCCCTCCCCACCCCAGCTTCCTTCAGGATCCACAGAACCGAAGCGCGTGACCTCAGAACATAACATGAGTCAGGAAAGCTTGAGAAGAAAGTCACCAGGGACTTCAGCCACATCATCTTTTTCTCACGTAGCCTGTGATGCTGTAAAACTCCTCAGGAGATCGCTTCTGTAAGCTCTTCCTAGGTTCTCTGGGCGGAGGAGTACGCAGCCTAACTGAGGGTCATGCACCTGCCCAGCGACCCCGCCTCCGAAGCCAGAGGGCGGGGTTCTGGGGCGGATCCCTGGCTGCTGCATAGCCCTCTGGGAGTTGTAGTTCCGGATGGCGGAGCTTTGACAGAAGCGGCGGGCTCAGCGCTCCTAGGACTCCATCCCCCGCCAGCCCCCGCGGCGTAAGCCGTTGCCTCTTCCTGTTTAGGGGACGAGTAGCCCGACGGCCGCCACCCTCGAAGTCTGCGGAGGGGTCTTCGCCTGCTGATCGGGTTTTCCTTGGTGGAGGGATTGGCCTGCTGAGGTACAGCACGTTCTCGCTCCTGGCAAACACCCTGGGACAGTCTGAGAGGGAGAGCAGGCGTGGCGGGAAGGGTTGAGCTTGCAGTCTACCGGCTGTCACTGCCTAGGGGTCTTTGGGATGCGGGGAGAGCCAAGCACTGGGTCAGGGAGACTGCTCCAGAGGGGCGCGTGTCCCTCGAGTGGGTCGAGTGCGGGGAGCCGGGGCTGAGAAAGTCTGGGTCTCCTGGAGCCTCCGGAAAAAGGCAGGATCAGCGCCCAAAGCCGGGATGAGAGGACTGTTGGGATAATTGCAGCCGAGTGTCCTGTGAGAAAGAGCTGGAGGGAGGAATTGAGAGTGAAGCCTCCTGGTGTCTCGGACTATGGCCACTAGTGTTCCTACCACACTGATGGTAAGGGTATGGAGATCCAACCCAGGGCTCGGTGGATGAATGAAGTCACTATTCCACCAAGCCACTCCTCCAGCCCGTGAGTGAGTGCCCTGATAGTGGATGGCATGGTGTGTTGACAGTCTTGCAATACTAGACCCGGGAAGCAGCTAGCCAAATGCATTCTCCTTACCTTGCGAATCAGGAAAAAGACCTACCGAGTTGGAGACACCGCTTATCATTCATTAGTTATTAGCCAGCTTGTCCAAAACCTAATTGTGATCCTTTGGCAATGCCGTATCCATCGTTGAGATCAGTAGATTTGAGTGCCCTTTCCTTGATGTTCAGATATGACAGAGAACTGGCATGCAGAGTAACAGGCAAAAGGATTTTGTTTGTTCCTTAATTTATTTTGTTTGTTTGTTTATTTTCAGTAGCTCAAATGACACTTGTAAACTTAAGAGAAATTTATATGCCTTGTAAACAACTACTGCCAGCTAGATATAGGGCACGCCTGTAATCCCAGGACTCAGGAGGGTGAGGCAGGTGGAGGGATGGTCTCCAGTTATGTAAATAGCTTTCTCAAACCTGAAAACCAGAGGTGGAGAGGTGACAGGTCCCTACAGTTCTGACCTTGCAAACATGAACATAGGTGTTCTCTCCTCAGCACCTTTGTAAAAATCAAAACCAGGCACTCCGTAGCATGTAGTGACCCCAACACTGGAGAGGTAAACAGCGGTATCCCGGGAGCTTGCTGGCCAACTAGTCCAGTGGAATTGGTGAGCTCCCAGTCCAGTGAGAGATCCTATCTCAAAAAGTAAGGTAGGGAGAAGACACCGCCTTCAGCTTATGGCCTCCACATGCATGGCATTAACAAAGATGCCACATATCTCTAAGGAAATAAATTTACCTTGCGTTCCCAGTCTTGCCAGCCAGAGCTTTGAGGAAAACCAGCTTTAAATTTCCTCTCAAAATCCTAAGTAGTGTGTACCTATTGTACACTTAAAAATATCCTATTGTAGTTTTATAAGACTCTAAGTAGTTAGTAGGGGTAGACTCAGGAAGACAGTACTGCTAACCTGAATTACGAATGAAAACAGCACAGTGTTTTTATAAAGGGTCTATATTAGCATAAAAGTGGAAAAAATCATGAGGTTAAAATTCTCTAGCAGGCTTGAATTTTTACAATACACTTAAACTTCAGTACTTTGCTAGTAGTCTTTCTTTATCCAGAACTTAAGAGAAGCTAGGATTGCTGGTGTGGGAAGAGAGGTTCTTTGGTGCCATAACGTTGCTTTGGTGATTTATAAACTCCACTGTGTCCAGCACTGCCAGATTTTAACATCCTTTGAAGCATTAGTTAACAGAATAGAAAAATGTTCTACCAGTGACACCAGAATTGTAGACTTATAGCTATCAGCTATTAACACAATGGTAAATTATTCATAAGGAAGGAATCTAGGTAAGTGTGTTAGTAGACTCTATAGGAGATTTATAGAGAAAAGAGATATGCATACAAGAACAGCTTCTACCAGGCTGCCTTTTTAAATGACCGGATTCCTTTGCTTTTATACTGCATAGGTAGATGAACTCTTAATAAATTTTACCTGCTAATGACTATATTCTCCTTTTATAAAATGTTATTAGAGTCCAGCCATGCACATTCATTTCCATATTATCCATCACACTAAAAGGCAGTGTAGACACACAATGGCTGGATAAGCTTAAATAATTTCTTTCTGCTCCTTTACAGAAAAAAAGTCACTCTATGGCCTAGAAAATGGAATACAGAGTATCTGAAATTTTATATGTAAATGTGTTAGATAGTAACTAATATCAGCCTCTGTAAAAGAACATAAACTCCTTGGATGTTTGTGTCCAAAGTAATATTTATCTTACCCCAGCCTAGTCTATTCTGAAAGTTGATGCTAGCGTCTTAGCATAGACACTACAGATTTTGCTGTTGTAAGGGGGATGCTAGATCATCTAGGCCCTTCAGATCATAGGCAGAGAACACTGAAGGTAAGCGATCCCAGTGTCTGGCCATGATGCTACCACCAACCACCCCAAGCCCAGCTCCTGCTGCCTGGGTTGGAGTCAGCCATTCTCTCCTTTCTAGTACCTCTGTGACATTTAGCATACCAAGTCACGTATGCAGGTCATAGATTAACTTAAAGCCCCATCTCCTTAGCCTGTAGGAGCAGGAGTTTAGTAGGTGGGCTTTATTAAAAGCCATTCTTACAATTTAGTTTGTTGCAATTTCGACGTAAGAAGAGATGAAAGGGGCCTCAGGTATTCTCAGGGTGGTGGGGGGGCCTTGTGGGAACCAGACCAAGCCTGCCAAGACCAACTTTGTTTTTTCCAGAGCCCTGTCCTTCCTATCTTATCCGGTCAGCTTGGTTATCTCATACCCAGCTGCTAGCCCTTTCATTTCTTATCCCTAGTGTTCCCAGCCTCACCATTTTAATCCTGACATTCATTTTAACTCGCATTGTTTCTACCTCAGTATCAATAAGGTAAGCTATCGATTTCCTTTTGGTCTTTTCATGTGATTCTCATAAAATACCTGGGATGAAGTAATTTATAAAGAGGAAATTTACTTCTGTGTTCTGAAGACTAGGGAGTCTGAGGTCAGGGTGCAGTTCGTTTGGGTGTTTGATAAGGGCCTGATTTTCTGCTTCCGGATGGCTCCTTCTTGCTATCTTCTCACGTGGTAAAAGAGACAGGAAGGCAAAGTGGGGCTTCCAGCTCAGCCCCTTCATCCCTTTTATAAGGTACTAATCGCGTTGGTGATTAATCATCTCCTAAAGGCCTCTTACTACTGTAACCCAGCCTTGGAAATTACTACTGTAACCTCAATCTCTCCAGCCTTGGTAATTACTTACGACACATAAATCTTGGAGGTAAACATGGCAGTACCCCGTACTAAAACTAGTTTTAAACAACTGGGAACTCTTAATGACTTAGATTTAGGTTAAGCGTCTTGAATTTGAGCCGGGCATTGGTGGCACACGCCTTTAATCCCAGCACTCGGGAGGCAGAGGCAGGTGGATCTCTGTGAGTTCGAGACCAGCCTGGTCTACAGAGCTAGTTCCAGGACAGCCTCCAAAACAATACAGAGAAACCCTGTCTCGAAAAACCAAAAAAAAAAAAAAAAAAAAAAAAAAGAGTCTTGAATTTGGCCGGGTGTGGTGGCTGGCACATGTCTTTAGTCCCAGCACTCGGGAGGCAGGTGGATCTCTGAGTTTGAGGCCAGCCTGGTCTACAGAGCAAGTTCCAGGCCCACTAGAGCTACACAGAAAATCCCTGTCTCAACCCCTCCCCCACCAAAAGGCATCTTGAGATTAAGATACTAGATCTAGATGTCTATCTATGTCACCCTGCTCATTTAATACCTACCAATTATATCATTGTTAAGATTGCAGCAAATAAATGCTGTGAGTGCTTAGTATTTTTGTCATTGATAGACTTCTGCATTCTAACTGCCAGTTACAGAACTCTTATTCCCTTCTCGACCTACTTCATCAAATAGCAGAGTATCTTATAGGTTCGCTCGTTTTCTCAAAACCATTAAATTGTTTGTGTTTCAGGGCAATTTGAAGTTTGAGCTAATTGATTAAGGCAACTGGGAACCAAGTTCTGTACTTAATTACCTAAATATTATTAAATATTTGATAAAAGAAGCAATAAGAACTGAGGACTCCTTGCTTATTAGTTTTTTCTTTATTTAAATCAACTTTTGGTTTCTTTAAACTAATTTGCCAATTTTACTATGCCACAGCATCGAAACATTGCTCAAAATAGATATTCATATATGGCTAACCTAGAATTTCTAAGTTCCTGAATGGCCATCATGTCTTCCCTATTATCAGTCACTTCTTGGTAAGGCTGACTGCCATTAAAGACTCTTCCTAAAGTTTCCTTCCTTCCCAGTTTAGTAGTATTCAATCCCTAGTTAAAAGAATGACAAAGACACACTCTTTCTGAACTCAAACACGTTCTTAGTTTTGTTTAAGAGCCAATGCCACGGTGTTGGTTTACAAATAGGGAAGTATAGCCACCTACCTTTCCTCTTTTAAGCAGATTTGATGTTACTCTCATTTGGCTGTCGACCTTTCTCTGTTGGTATTGTCCCTGGAAGGACTGATGGTGACCAGGGAAACATCCTTGTGACAAAAACAAAAATGCTTGCATCAGGAAACAGATTTGTCGTTGGGCAGTGGTGGCGCACGCCTTTAATCCCAGCACTCGGGAGGCAGAGGCAGGCGGATCTCTGTGAGTTCGAGGCTGGGCTGGACCGACAGCCTCGAAAACAATACAGAGAAACCCTGTCTCGTAAAAACCAAAAAAATAAAAAATAAAGACATAAAAAAATAAGGAAACAGATATGTCTTAACTAGTTTACCTTAAAGAACACGTTCATTGTGTTTAATTTCTAATAATGAATGCATAGACATAAATTCAGTCATCTTAATCCCATCTGTGGTTTAGAGGGGAAGGCTGTTTTGCTATTTTGGCTACTGTTGGTCTCTTATTTACAATCTAGATGATGAAGATCTGATTTTTCAAATGGTCCTTGGGTCCTGTGGAGAGCTTAAGCTTTCTACCCCACCTCCCACCCCTTTCTACCCCACCTCCCGCCCCGTTCTACCCCACCTCCCGCCCCATCCTACCCCACCTCCCGCCCCGTCCTACCCCACCTCCCGCCCCGTTCTACCCCACCTCCCACCCCATCCTACCCCACCTCCCACCCCTTTCTACCCCACCTCCCGCCCCATCCTACCCCACCTCCCGCCCCATCCTACCCCACCTCCCGCCCCATCCTACCCCACCTCCCGCCCCATCCTACCCCACCTCCCGCCCCATCCTACCCCACCTCCCGCCCCATCCTACCCCACCTCCCGCCCCTTTCTACCCCACCTCCCGCCCCATCCTACCCCACCTCCCGCCCCATCCTACCCCACCTCCCGCCCCATCCTACCCCACCTCCCGCCCCATCCTACCCCACCTCCCGCCCCGTTCTACCCCACCACCCACCCCTTTCTACCCCACCTCCCGCCCCGTTCTACCCCACCTCCCACCCCTTTCTACCCCACCTCCCGCCCCGTTCTACCCCACCTCCCGCCCCGTTCTACCCCACCACCCACCCCTTTCTACCCCACCTCCCGCCCCGTTCTACCCCACCACCCACCCCTTTCTACCCCACCTCCCGCCCCTTTCTACCCCATCACCCACCCCTTTATACCCCACCTCCCGCCCCATTCTACCCCACCACCCACCCCTTTCTACCCCACCTCCTGCCCCATTCTACCCCACCACCCACCCCTTTCTACCCCACCTCCCACCCCTTTCTACCCCATCACCCACTCCTTTATACCCCACCTCCCGCCCCATTCTACCCCACCATCCACCCCTTTCTACCCCACCTCCCGCCCCGTTCTACCCCACCACCCACCCCTTTCTACCCCACCTCCCGCCCCATTCTACCCCACCACCCACCCCTTTCTACCCCACCTCCCACCCCTTTCTACCCCATCACCCACTCCTTTATACCCCACCTCCCGCCCCATTCTACCCCACCATCCACCCCTTTCTACCCCACCTCCCGCCCCTTTCTACCCCACCACCCACCCCTTTCTACCCCACCTCCCGCCCCTTTCTACCCCATCACCCACCCCTTTATACCCCACCTCCCGCCCCATTCTACCCCACCATCCACCCCTTTCTACCCCACCTCCCGCCCCATTCTACCCCACCACCCACCCCTTTCTACCCCACCTCCCGCCCCGTTCTACCCCACCACCCACCCCTTTCTACCCCACCTCCCGCCCCGTTCTACCCCACCACCCACCCCTTTCTACCCCACCTCCCGCCCCTTTCTACCCCACCACCCACCCCTTTCTACCCCACCTCCCGCCCCTTTCTACCCCATCACCCACCCCTTTATACCCCACCTCCCGCCCCATTCTACCCCACCATCCACCCCTTTCTACCCCACCTCCCGCCCCGTTCTACCCCACCACCCACCCCTTTCTACCCCACCTCCCGCCCCGTTCTACCCCACCTCCCACCCCTTTCTACCCCACCTCCCACCCCTTTCTATCCCAGTTCTACTGACAGAGGCAGCCTTTTCTCTGAGGTTCTTCCAAAAGGGCATGCAATTGTCCTCTCTAGAAATAAATTCTTTCCCTTTAGTACTGTTTTGCTTGTGATTGTTCAATAATTCTATAAAGATCAACCTTTTTATTTCTTTTTCTACTTCAGAATTTACACTCTTTATACCAAATAACAGCAAATTCCATTGCACAGAGTAATAGTGGTTGATGTGGTTCTAAATGCTTATACATATGAATTCACATATTTCAAAGAAACACTTTCCTGGGTTTGAGATTTTTCCAAATTAATTTTCCCAAAGTTACTCTTTTTTTTTCTCCCCACCCCTTCACCGTATGCCATTCTTTTTGACAAGAGACTACTGTTTTCTGTTCAATCATCTTTTTTGGGGGGGGGTTCTGAGACAGGGTTTCTCTGTATTGTTTTTGGAGGTTATCCTGGAATTCACTCTGTAGACCAGGTTGGCCTCAAACTCACAGAGATCTGCTTGGCTCTGCCTCCAAAGTGCTGGGAATAAAGGCGTGCACCACCAATGCCCAGCATCTTTTCAATTTCTAAAAAACTTTTTTCAGTTGAAGAATTTTAAAATTTTGTAGGGTATAGCAGAATCCTAAAAGTAACTGGCTACGATATGTTTACAGCTTTCATAAGCTTTTAATTCCATTGCACTTCCCGATTAATTACAAATGTTCCTTTCCTGGGTATTGTATGTGGAATGTTTTTACTCATTGCCTCAAGGAGCCATTTTTAAAATTAGTCAAATTTGCACTTTGACATTTAGGGAAACAATGGAATGTGAGCCTCACTGTATGAGTAGGTTAGTGTCAGTTGTGACATAAAGAGAATAGCATTGGGTACTGTTTCATTCTTTGTAGCTTTGCTAAATGATAGAAGACAATTTTGTTTCCATTTTCAGCTTCTTCTTTCTGTTCCTTCCATCTTTCCATAATCTCAATCTCATTTTAGTAAGGCTGACTAACATCCAAGAATCTCCCTGAATTTCTCCTCATTCTTAGTAGTGTACAATTCTTAGTTAAAGCAATCTCTGAGAGTTAAAAAAGGCTCATTTTCTCTGAACTCAGGTATGCCTTCAGTTTAGAAACTAAGCGAGTGGGAGCTGGAGATCCCCCGCTAGCCAGAAGCAGCCTGAGGCATTCTCTGAGAGACCACCACTGAGGTGAAGTGGGAGTCTTGATCTTGCTGCAGAAAAGAATTTCAGGAAGGGAAGTGTGACAAAGATTTAAATCTATCAGGAAGAGATTTTAACCGTAGACTTATGCATGGGTGTTAATAGGAGATGTGCTTAGGGAAAAGACAGTACATGTGAAGTGTGAACTTCCCTGGAAGGTAGAGCTTAAGCCTCTTAGCGCTCTCTCTCTCTCTCTCTCTCTCTCTCTCTCTCTCTCTCTCTCTCTCTCTCTCTCTCTCTCTCTCTCTCTCGTGTGTGTGTGTGTGTGTGTGTGTGTGTGTGTGTTGGCTTCTGAAGTTACATTGTTCGAAGGCTTTTCTCTCTCTCCTTCTCTTTTGGTACGTGAGATCATAGAGTGGTCCATGAGGTATACTGGATGGAATTGCAGGCCGATAAGGTAAAGCATAGGTCACAGGAATTGTACAAGGGAAATTAGGGCATTATGTAAATGATGTTTATATTCTTGTCTGTGAAATTCCCAGAAAGGTGCAGGTTTATGCCTGGAAAGGAGTAAAACCATATTCAAGAACACACTTTGGCCTGAAGAACAGTTCATTGCTATTCTCATTGGAAATGTCTGTATAAAAATACTATTATCTCTGTGTAGGCAATTCCTACAGTAAGTTTTGTTCACTTTGCTGCAGTATTTGACTTTTAGCAGGTGAGAGAGTTTAACTGGCCCCTGGGATCAGGGGCGCCTTTATTTCTCACATCTCCTTAACTTTTTGTCTGTCTTTCCTTAGAATCTAAGCGTTTAGTTTAAAACGTAAGACAAATGAGTGAACCGGCTTGCTTTATTATGTAAAGGAATTAGTTTAATCTTGCTGGGTGCAGCTTAGCAAATTTGAGACCAACAGGGCTACAGAGTGAAAACTTGCCTCAAAATAAAGAAATAAATCAAAAGATCAAACTTCTATTTTTTCATCTCAACTATTTTAGTCGAATTAATGTTTACACAGTCACTCCCATATTGATGGGATTCTAGTAGCAATTACCTTCAAACAATGTACACTATACATTAAAGAAGCAGTTCTCAACCTGTGGTTCTTGACCCCTTAGTGATCACCTATCAGAGATTTACATTACAATCCCTAAAAGTAGCAACAAAATAATTTATGGTTGGGGTCACCACAACATGAGGAACTGTATTAAAGGGCTGTAGCATTAGGAAGGTTCAGAACCACTGCAAAAGAGTGTTTTTTGCTTTGCATTTGAAAGTGTATAATGTGCTGTATGACTCTGTTTCAGAGTCAATTGAAAAAACTTTTTAACCTGGGATAAATCTTGCTTGTTTCATTTTTGCCCATTCATGGTTATTGAAGCACTGTTCACAATAGCCAGGTTATAACTTCAATAAATCTTTCACTGAGCTCTTCCTACGCTGATTTGGAAACAAGGGCCAGTGATTGGTGTAGAGTTGAGCTAAAACCAAAATAATAAACTGAAAATTGGCATTGGGTTTGCATGCTACTGGGCTAGCTCTTAAGAGACTTAGGGGTTATTCTCTCAGCTTTATTAATTATATTTTTAAATTTATTGATGGTAGGAAATGGGGCTTGATTTTCTGTTTTTCTCAAAACCTCCTTACATTATAGGTTCTCAGTAAGCACTTGTTGAATGACTATATTCAGGGCTTACCATTACTTAGTATTTTGGCTATCTTAGTGATTTCTGCCATTCTAATCCTTATAGTGTGTGGAAGTGAAATATTATTTGGGGGTGGTATTATTTTTGCTCCTATCTTTGTTCCCTTTTTGTGGTGCTGGGGATCAAACCCAGAGTCTCTCATATACTGTGCAAACACTCTACCACTGAGCTCATTTTTCTTTCCCTTCCAGTCTCTGAAATGTTACTCTTACAAGATACTGTTGAATGAATTTCTTTAGCATTTGTTCACCTTTGGTAGTACTAGTGAGGACTTGACTGGCCTGTATATTGGGCAGAAAAGCAGAACCAAAGAGGGAAGTGAAAGGAGAAAGAACAGTAAAAAATGCACATATTTGGGGAACAGAACATGTTGCTAGCATCTGTGTCACATAGAAACACATTAAAGCCACCTAGCACTTGTGATGTCCTGAACTCATCACTAGAGGCAATGGCGGAGGTGGGGAGAAAGGAGAAGGAGGGAGCAGGAAAAGAATGAATGATCAGCTGGGCATGGGTGGTGCACACCTTTAATCCCAGCAGAGGCAGGCGGATCTCTGTGAGTTCGAGGCCAGCCTGGTCTACAGAGTGAGTTCCAGGACATCCTCCAAAACAATACAGAGAAAACCTGTCTCAAAAAACAAAACAAAACAACGGAAAAAGAATGAATGAGAAAAGTGATGGAAGAGTCCATTAAACAAATTGGGAACTACACACCGTATTTGCTTAGTGTCTACAGTAATATGAAATGGGAGAAGGTGAAAGATAAAGCAGGGGGATGTGACAAGAGCAGGAAAGACAGCCCAGCACTATGGGGGAAGAGTAGCAGCTCAGATTTGGACTGCCTTAGCTCTGACATTCCGTGATTGCTTCCTTGTGCTTTGTGTCTTTCTGTATAGAATAGCAATCCTAACAGGAACTTACAGGGTAAAGAAAAAGTATAACAGTTGTTTTTACATCTCACAATCAATTTCACTTTATGTAGCTCTTTGCATTTTATAGTGAAATAATCATACAGGAAACTGCATTACACACACACACACACACACACACGCTTCCATTATAAGATTTCCTGTCTTTCCTGTTACAACATCTTATTGACCCTCTAGTTTGTTCTCTCAGCATCAGAAATGATGCTATTTTGCTTAGATAACTTTCTTGGGAGGAAGCTGGTTTTGTGCATTGATAGATGTTTAGCAGTATCGCCTTTATGTCAGTACGCACATCCTCCCCCAAATCATACCAATTAATTGGATAATGTCAGATTCTTTTTTATATTGCTCTGTTCTATGTTTCTTTATATGCTCTTCATGGTAAAATAGCCTGTAGGACAGGGGTGGTAGCAGGGAACTCCACTCAGCTGTTGTAGTTCTTCATCTATTTTCATTAAATATTGTTGGGGAATCTGATTGAAGAAAGAGATGTAGCTGAAGTTCTTTACAATCTTTTTCTGAACTGGAAGTTGTTGTAGATTACATATGCTAGTCTTATTGAAATATAAACTGTGATTCTAGATAATTTTAATGGTACAGGTCATGATTTTTCAATGAAAATAAAGTAAGCAAAACAAAATGTATTTGAGCAAATAAGCTATTCTAGAGTATAACAGACTAGTAACATTTTGGTTGATGTTATAATGTCTGTGAGAGATTCCTGGAATCTAATATAATAAAAATTCTGGTCTAATTCCATGAGGAAGATGGTATAGACTCTACTCTTTTTTTTCTCAATATGTTTTTATAAATTAGAAACATGTATGCTTCACGTCAATCCCAGCTCCCTCTCCCACCCCTCCTCCCTTATCCCTCTACCAGCTCATCCCAGCCTCCTTCCCAATCCCTACATCATTCCCTAGGGAGGGTGAGGTCCTCCTTGGGGGGATCTCCAGAGTCTGTCATTTCATCCAGGGCAGGACCTAGGCCCTTCGCCATGTGTCCAGGCTGAGAGAGCATCACTCTATGTGGAATGGGCTCCCAAAGTTCATTGGTACGCCACGGTGAACACTAATCTACTACCCAAGGCTCCAGAGATTTCTGAGGCCTCCTTACTGACACTACATTCATGAAGTCTGGATCAGTCCCCTGTTGGCCTCTCAGCCATCAGTCTTGGGGTTCAAGAGCTCCCCCTTGTCCAGTCAGCTGCCTTTGTAGGTTTCACCAGCACGGTCCTGACGCCTTTGCTCATCACTCCTCCATCTCTGTCACTGGGCTCCAGGAGTTCAGTGTTTAGCTGTGGGTATCTGTCTCTGCTTCCATCAGTCACTGGATGGAGGTTCTAGGATGGCATATAAGGTAGTCATCAACCTTATCATTAGGGAGGGACTATTAATGTAGTCTCTCTGCTATTGCTTAGTTTGCCAGTTGGTGTTATCCTTGTAGATCTCTGGAAATCTCACTAGTGTCAGCTCTTTCCTCAAACTTATAATGACTCCATCTATTATGGTATCTCTCATCCTGCTTTCCTCTATTCTTAGCCTCGACTCAACCTTCCTGCTCCCCCATGTTTTCTTCTCCCCTCCTCTAATCCCCCTCTCTTTTTCCTGGTTCCCTCTCCCCTTCTGCTATGTTCCCAATCTGCTCAGGAGAGCTTGCCTCATTCCACTTCTCTGGGGTATCATGCATATCGCTTGGGAACCTCCTTGTTTCCCAGACTCACTGGCACTGGGATTGTAGGCTGACACTCCCCTGATGCATTAGACTCTACTCTAAACCTCCCCAATGTCCTGTTTTCAACAATACCCAAAGATGAGAATATAATACATTTTAAGCATTTTAAAGTAAAATTTCATATATACCAATAATAATAAAAGAAAACAGTTGTAACTTTGTAAGGAATGATGATGGTCTGATTCTGGATATCTTTGAAGGAAAAGCAATAAGATATCCTAATGGATTAGATGCTGAGAATGAGAAAAAACGGTTGTGGATGATTCCAAGAATTTTGACTGGAGCAATTAGAAGAGTAAAGATTCCACTGATTGAATGTTAGAAAAGCAATATGCTTATGGTTTTCTGAGGAAGAAAATCAAGTTTGGAACTTGCCAAAACTGAGTTGTGGTTATATCCAGCCAGTTAAAGGTACCAAATAGCCAGTTGAATGTTCAAGTATAAATTCAAGAGAGGTGCTACAAGTATTACTGTAGAAACTGATATGCTCTAATCTGTGAATTTGGTATAGTTGAAGTGTTTTATCTTCATACCACCTAATGTGATAGCCACTAGCCACGGTACTAAGAAATCTTAGCTTCCTTGTAAGGGAGTAAAGCCCATTTGCTGCTTGTACTCTACTCTGATGGAAAACTCTCATAGTCTTGTCTTTAGTCTTAGTCTCTACTTCCCTAAGTCTCAAGACTTTGAAAACATGAGCTCAAATTCTGATGAAGCACCTATTTCCTGCAGCTGTTCCAGTATGTCTTTTCTTTGCTGTCAACTTATCTAACTTCACTCCCTGTTTTTTAAGCTTTTCAAATGATTTTTAAAATATTCTTTTCCAGTGTTGGGTCCAAATAACTAAATCTGTCATATTCCTGGAAGTGAATTGTAAGCTGAAAAATAAGAATCTGCAAGTTGGTAGTATTTCTGATAAATATATCAAATCATAGACCTCATTTAAGTCATGATGGCTTTATATCTATAATCCCAGGCTTGCTTAAGAGTTAAAGACCAACCTGGGTAACAGTAAGCCATCTTCAAAAATGATACCTTCAGCAAATTCCCATACTTTCCAGTTGCTTTTACATGAAAATGTATTAAAAATAGCAAAATGTTTTTAAGATTAAACTGAATTACCTTTTTCTGACTTCTTAGGACTCAGTGCCTAGAATCTGAGAAAAATGGCAAGTATGGATAGTGATTCTAGGCCTCTTATCCCTGAAGTAGACCTTGAAGTAAATCCTGGACCCATGAATATCCAGTTTGATTCATCAGATCTAAGATCTAAAAGGTAAGACTTTGGTGCATTTATTTCATAGTTAGAGCTTCTAACGATTAAGATATAGTAAGTTACAGCCAAAAAGATCAACAGAATTGATAATGAAATACCCATTTTCTTAAGAACTTATAGATGTATGTGTATATGATGATATAAACACTGTTTCTTAATTTACAAAGTTTTGTGTTTTGGACTAAACTCAACAGATCTGTTTTATTCAAGTAAGATGCATTTACATAATTGGCTCAACTATGTGTTGATTACTAGAGTGATCATGCAAAGTAATCAGATGCTAGAGATAGAAAAGGGATTGTTTTTATCTTCGTTGACTTTAAAACTCACAGATAATTTAAAATAATCTGAGATTAAATAATCTTTCAATTTATAACTGAAAGCTTGTAACAGTGAGTGAGTCTAGTACAGTAGTCACTGGGTGGAAAGATGCTGCAGTAAGATGCTTGCTCTGCAAACATAGGACCTGAGATTGCATCTCAGCAACCACATAAGCTAGATGAGAGCCCATGAACAGCTTTAAATGCAATGATGTAGGAGGTAGAGACAGGAGAATCACTAGGACTTGATGGCTGTCAGCCTAATCAAAAAACATGAGTTCCAGATTGATAAGGAGACAATTGCCTCCCTCTAGCCTCAATGCATGTGCATAGTTGTAGGCACACATGCCCAAAGTGGTTACTTACAAAATAGGCAAAAATAAGATAAAAAATGATGGGACACACCTATCATCTAACACTCAAGAGGCAGAGGCAGGAGGATTGTGAGATTAAGGCCAATGTGGGCTACCCAGTAATATCTTGTCTGTTAAAAAACAGACCAACAAAACCAAGGAACTAGCAAGATGTGTTAGCAGGAAAAGGCATTTGCCTCTAAGCCCGACTACTTGATTTAAATGCCCAGGACTCACATGATAGAGGAAGAAAACTTACACAGTGTAAGTTGTCCTCTAACCTCCAAATGCCAGTAGCACTTGAGTGTGCATACACACTAAATAAACAAATAAACATAAAAGAAATTCTAAAGTAAAAGTAAATAGCCTTCTAGAAAATTAACTAAAAAAATATAACATATACTTAAAGTAGTTTCAACAGGAATGTACAAAATCTATGTGAAAAACTAAAATGTTTCTGAAAGATGTAAAGTAGGACTTGAAGTATTTCATCAAATCTGAGATGCTACTGATTTTTGTATTTAAATTATACAAAGCTGGGCATAAATTATACAAAGCTGGGCATAGTGGTGCACACCTTTAATCCCGACACTTGTGAGGTAGAGGCAGGCAGATCTCCCTGAGTTCAAAGCCAGTCTGGTCTACAAAGTGGATTCCAGGACAGCCAGAACTACATAGTGAGACCCTGTCTTGAATAGGATGGATGGATGGATGGATAGATAGATAGATAGATAGATAGATAGATAGATAGATAGATAGATAGATAGAGGAAGGAAGGAAGGAAGGAAGGAAGGAAGGAAGGAAGGAAGGAAGGAAGAAATATACAAAAGGGCTGGAAAGAGAACTCAGTGGTTGTTCTTCTAGAGGACTTCGATTTGATACCCAGCACTTACATGGTGACTCACAACCATCTATATGTAATTCTTTTTTTTTTTTTTTTTTTTTTTTTTTTTGGTTTTTTCGAGACAAGGTTTCTCTGTATTGTTTCGGAGGCTATCGGTCCAGCCCGGCCTCGAACTCACAGAGATCTGCCTGCCTCTGCCTCCCAAGTGCTGGGATTAAAGGCGTGCGCCACCAACGCCCAGCCCATCTATATGTAATTCTAATCCCAGGAGATCTGACACCCTCTCTGGCCTCCTTCAGTACTAGGCATGAATATAGTGCGCACAGACATTCTTGTAGACAAAGCACCCATACACATAAAAAGATCATTTCAAAAAACTTAAGACACACAAACACAATGGGTCTATGTAAGATACGTGTTTATATATATATACATACATACATACATACATACATACATACATGTATAAGCTGAACTTGGAATTTTTGCTTTGTATTCACTGAAAGAACTCTTGGCCATATTTGTTATTTTCAATATAATATAGACAATGTGCATTGGTTAGCTCTCAGACTTTGAACCGACAGCTGGGGAACCTGCATGGGTCCAAACTAGGTGGTGGGGGGTGGTCACCCTGGCAGTGGCATCAGGAACTATCCCAGGTGCATGAACTGGCATTTTGGAACCCATTCCCTATAGTGGGATACCTTGCTCAGCCTTGATGGAGGCGGGGGCTTGGTTCTACCTCAACTTGGTATCCCAGATTTTGTTGACTCCCCAAGGAAGACCTTACCCCCTCTGAGGAGTTTATAGGGAGTAGGAAAGAGAAGGAGAGGGAGGGGGAACTGGTATTTGTATGTAAAATGAAAAATAAATTTTTAAAAGAAAAAATGATATTATTGTATTATTGAAATCTCACACTTACAAAACCTGATTCTTCTGGATCACTTTTTGACTTAGAGTCATAGACAGGTCGTGGGTCCCATCCCTATGGCATCTCACCCCACCCCCACATGCAGAATTGTCTTTTTGCCATGTAGAGTTGGAGACCGTGATGATGCAGCATTCTTTGATTTTCTTAGGAAGCACGGAGGATACTTGCAGGATTCCACACTTGTACAGTCATGGTTGTCCCAGAAGGCATCATGGGCAGTCTTCTCACATGTGATTCCTGTTTCTTCCTCAAATGGTCCTTCAGTGGTTTGACTGAGATGGCCAGGGGTGGCACCAGAAATAACTACCACACTACCACCTTTAACATGATTAAGACATGTTAAAGATCATGAGGTATCCTCATTTAGAAATGTTGAATGTATATGTTACATATATATACATATATATATATATATACACAGCATTAAAATATGACATAAAGTAATATTCTACTCCAGGTAATACTTTTTAAATTTTAATCTAGGGGAGAGACTCAGTTGACAAAATGTTTGTCACACAAACACAAGCACCTGAATTTGGACCCCCAGCACCCATGTAAAGTTTAGGAGCTGTGGTCATACCTGTAATCATGACACCCCCGGGAGGCAGAGACAGATTGACATCTGGAGATCACTGGCTAGCTAGCTTAGCCAAATTGATGAGCTCCAGGTTCAGTGAGAGATAAGCTCAAAAAAAAAAAGTGGAAGCAGTTGAAGTAGACACTTGATGTTGACCTCTAGCTTTTCATACTTGTGTTCACATGTGCACACACTCACACACATACAAATGTGCACCTACAAGAAAAACTGTAATCCACAAATTTAGTGTGATCCTGTTCCCAAGTAGCAGCAACCAACTCTGAAGGTGCTGTGTATCAGCAACCTTAACTACTACACACACTGATTCCCAGTGTCATATGATGTATGTACAGGTTTCTGTAAGTTGCCAAGACTGAAAGCAACTAAAAATGTCTTTTCTTACAGGACTGAAAAATTAAATTATGGCATATTCATACATGGAATACTTTTCATCTAATACAAAGGAGGTGGCTTTATGATATATCAAAATGGAACCACTCTTCAACTTATTTTGTTAAAAGAGAAAAAGAAATGCAGAACAGTATGTATAGTATGCCACCATTTGTGTAAAAATAAATCACTACATTATAGACAAGACAGTATGTATAAATGAAGGCTGGGGGAAGAAATAGATGACTAAGAAACTGAACAGCTGAGGTAAGGTAGCTTGGTGAATAGTGTTGGTAGAAACCCAACACCTATTCCATTATCGCTGTCATTCCCTAACAGCAGAATCTAGTGTAGTTAAGTGTTGCAGCTGTTTCCAGCCTAGGAGATAAGAAAGATTGCTGTGAGCTGATTGTAAAGATATTGTTACCATGGTAGTGTGAAGTTTATCACACAAGAAATTTATCATTGCCATTAGTAGTGGCTACTAGGAGAAATAAGAGAAATTGATATTTGATTCTCGCTTGTATAATCCAATATTAGTGAATATAAGTGCTGACTGGATGCTTAGAGTTCTCTTGAAACTTCTAAGTTCTGTGATAAATAATTGACCACTATGACAATAGAACATAGGTCATTAAAGTGCATTCCATTACGATAAGTTGGCAGGAGTTCATTTCCTTGACAATTTAATCTAACAGGGTAGAGTAAATGGAAATACCTTTTCTATAATGAAATTTGTCAAAAGAAGGAATCCGCTATTTTCAATCCTGGCGTAACTGGTAAGCAGGTATGAAGGAAGGCAACCACTTGTAAAACCTTAGCAGTCCTTAGTGCTTTTGCTTGTGGAGTAATTCCTGTTTGAGAAAGCAGAAACTGTCTAATGAGAAAAAATGTGTACTATGAAACAGTGTCTGCCAAGATATGGATTTGTGCACTCTTACACGTAAATAAAATCCAGACGCACTGTGTCTCCCAATAGAAGACCCACTTAGCAATTGCCAAGCGTCAGTCCTTTGGGTCACCCTACTTTGGTACTATCCGTGTACCATGTATACAGTATAATTTGATACTTCTTAATAATCTGTTCACCTTCTCAAATCAGGCTTCAGTTAGCCTCATCTCATGTTTGTAAAATGAGGACACTAAAGTGTTTATGTTTTTCTAATTTACATGGCCACATATCCCAGCTAGTTAGCACTCATGATTGTCGTGCCAAGAATCATCTTACATTTGGGAAAGGCGTGGCTGTAGGATGATAGAAACATTAGAGGTTATCCTACAGTTAGCTTGTGTTATTTTTCTCTCTTCCACTAGGTGGCAATCAAATCTAATATTAGTTCACATATACGAATTTTAACTGCTATAGACTGAAGTGAAGGATTGCATGCTTATCATCTTGGTGAACTAGAGCCTAAATCAGGTAGAGGAAGGGTTTTGACATTTTAGGATGCATATCATAAGCATTTGCCTCACTCCTATACCGTGTGTGGGGGGGTTGTTTTTTGTTTTTTTGTTTTTTTGGGGGGGTTGTTTTTGTTTTTAGTCTGTTTTGCGGTAGAATGGACAGGACAGCACAAATGCAAATGAAAGGGCAGAAAGGTCTAGAAGTCTCCTGTGTTCTATGTGATAGATTCTATTGGGGATCAACAGGCTTTTCCCAGACTTTAGAGACTACTCATGTGGCTGGTATTCAGGATTGCTTCCTATTTTTCCCACTGTTTTGTCTGTGTGCTGAGGAAGTTGACCATTCCAGCCAGCCTACAAGGTTATGAAATGGTTGATATAAATGTTTTTCAATGTTGGGATTGGAACCCAAGGCCTTGCATGTGCTAAGCAAGCACTTTGCATGTGCTAAGCAAGCACTTTGTATGTGCTAAGCAAGCACTTTGTATGTGCTAAGCAAGCACTTTGCATGTGCTAAGCAAGCACTTTGTATGTGCTAAGCAAGCACTTTGCTATGATTTGGTTTGGTTCTTAGCTGTCCCCGTCTCTGTGAGTCTTTGTTTTCTCTTTCTTCCTTTTCCCAGAGTTCAGGGTTTTCATGTCGTTCTTTGTAGACCCAGTGTTAACTAAAGGCAGGAGCTCACTTAGGCTTTAACCCCTAAGAATGCTTTGTACACATACTTTCCTCCTATACCTTATTTACCAGAACTCAACTGTTATATTCTTGTATGGCTCTGTTGTCCACTTGATACTAGAATGGAAAATAATCTGCTCTATTGGAGATGTAATCTCTTACCTTTACATGGGTGTTTTCAGTGAATCTGAACACCAAAAATTCTCAAAATACCAAATCCTAACCTAAGGGTTCAAGCTGTTGCTACTTGGTAACATCAGTAGTGCTCTGCCAAGGCCCTAGGATAGAAGTGGGTGTTTCAAACACAGCATGTTAAGTACATTGTGCACCTTGCTTCTTAGAGTATCTTCCCGTCTATGTGTTTGTGAACCAGCCTTTTAAAATTATCCCCTTCAGTATATGCTTGCCTGAATTGTATCTCTTCAGATATATCAGTTCTGGGTTTGTTTATTTTTTTTCCACTTACTGGAAAGTCTGTTGAACCTTATTGTACTTTGGAGGTTTGATTGATACTCTGCAGGGTCAAGTCAAAGATGTTTTGTTGGGCAGAAAATGTATGAAGAGCTGAGGTACAGTCTTTGTCCGTCTGCTCAGTATTAACTCTAGTGTATAGTCAGAAGGGATTTGCTGCAATGTACAATAGCACCACAAAAGCAATGAAGCCGGTGGTGATAGCAAGAGATTACTTTTAACAAACTTAAAATCAAATACTAATGGTGTACATAAAATGGGTCTGGGGACTTTGAAGCTAACTTAGTTTGTAAAGTCCCTGCCTTACAAACATGACAACCCAAGTTTGATCCCCACATAGGATGATTGGTATAGTGACACATGCTTATAATCCTACCACTGGGGAGGTGGAGATCTCTGGGGTGTGCTGAGCAGCCAGTAATGAGTCCTAAGCCCATTAGAAACCCTGTTTCAAAGAACATGGCTCAAGATGTAAGGTGCTTACTGCCAAACTGGACAATGGATATGAGTCCCATCCCAGAACCTATGTGGTAGGAGAGAACTGAGAGTTGTTGCAAGTTACACACACACACACACACACACACACACACACACACACACTCAAGATTTGCAAGATCCTTATTTTTTTGTTTTGTTTTTCACTTTATCATTGTTTATCTTGACACAATGTCAGTACATCCATTAAGGTTCTTTTTTTTTTTAACTACAGATCTGACCTCTTATTCTTTAACACTGGGGTTTTGTTTCCTAATACCAGTTTCTATTTATGACCACCAGTACTTTGTGGCTGTTTGTTTTCCTACAGTTCACATGCAGAGCAATTTATAATCTCTTAAATCCTGACTCTCTCATTAGAAATGGAAAAAGGCATTGATCTTCTCCATATATCTTTGAGTGCAGCTGTGCTGGGACATCTACATATGAAGAATATATATATATATATTGTTGTTGTTGTTGTTTTTACGAGACAGGGTTTCTCTGTATTGTTTTGGAGGCTGTCAGTCCAGCCCAGCCTCGAACTCACAGAGATCCGCCTGCCTCTGCCTCCTGAGTGCTGGAATTAAAGGCGTGCACCACCACCGCCCAGCTATGAAGAGTATATTTTATAGTAACATACTTTCATTTTATTTCTCTTTCCTGTGTTAAAATATTACACAGCTCTCAAAGTGAACAAAATTTAGCCACATACAAGAATATGGATGAATTTCACATACATTAAAAAAATAATGTTGCCAAAAGAAGCTAGACAGATGCCCAGCATGGTGGTACAAACCTGCAATCCCATCTCTTGGGAGCTAAGAGTCAAGAAGGCTGTGAGTTCCAGACCAGCCTGGGTTACAGGAAATCCTGTCCTAAGATGTCAAGAAAAGAAAACACTAGACAGGCAATTATACTGTGTATGATAATTATTCTGTAAAGTACAAAAGGAAGTAAAACCAAAATTCAGATGTTCATGCATGTTTCTCAGACATGTATCAAAATTTTAGCTTGTTTCCTTTCTTCTAAAACTAAAGTTAGTTTTACGGTTTTTGGATTAACCCCAGAGCCTAGTAGGTGCTAGGCAAATGCTGTACTACTGGGCAATATCCTCAGTACCGCAGCAATTATCTTTTCAGTGATGCTTACATTATGTCAATATAATACTTTTCCCATGAGAGCAAAATTAAAAGTACAGCATTCTTATAATTTAGGTCCAAACTAGATATAAAACAATATGCTGAGCCAGGCAGTGGTAGCGCACATCTTTGATCCCAGACCTTGGGAGGCAGAAGCAGGTGGCCAGCCTGTCCTACAGAGTGAGTTCCAGGCCAGCCAGGGCTACACAGAGAAACCCTGTCTCAAAAAGAAAAACAACAACAACAACAAAAAAAACGATAAGCGGGCTTTCTTAAAAATGTTTTGTCTAAATCACCTGTGCTTCTATATAGAATGGTGTACATGGTCTTCCTTCCATCTTGCTCTCCATTCTCCTCCTGTTTATTCTTTTGCCTAATTAGGAAAGGTTTGGGAGGAAGATCATAAGGCTTCTAGAACAATCCCTGGAAACAAGCAACTATGACCCCATCACATAGAAGCAACCATTATTAGAACTGTTCTCTGAGCCACCTCTTCTGTGATGCTTTTGGATGAAATCACAAGTATATACAAGTTCATGTGATCCTTGTTGATTGGCATTTAAACCACACAGTAGCATGGCTTCCATAAGTTAGTCCCTAGTTGTTTGTGTGTGTGTGTGTGTGCATGTGTGTGTGCGTGTGTGCATGCGTGCGTGCGTGCGTGTATTCTTCCCTGCCTTCCTTTTTTCTATTTTCCTCCCTCTCTCTCTTGTCATCTTTTGTACTTTCTTCTTCCTTGTTTCCCTTTCTTTCTCCATTCTTTCCTTTGCCAGCAAACATTAAGGTCCTACTGTGTACCGGATGCTTTGCGCTTCCCTCTAGCAAAAGCTTTGAGAACATGAGATGCAATAGCTAAAAATACTTTTAAAAATATGTATGTAGTTTCACTAGGAAAATACTAATTAAGTACATTCTGAGTCCACATTCACAAGCTGAATGAGTCCAGGACATGTGATTATAAACATCCCTAAGGAAAGACCTATGAACATGCTGCCTGACATAAATCTGATACTGGCTTGAGGAAGCGTCTGTTCTAACTCTGTTCCCAAGGGGATCATACTGCTTAGGGCAAGGGCTAGGTAACTTTTTTTCTACAAAGGCCCAGACAGCAGATATTTCCGGCTCTGTGAGCCTAGGGCCTCACCTTTGCCTCTGTAGTGTGGAAGGTAACACAGACACTCCTTAATTGCATGAGCCTTGCCATGTGTAAATACAGTTTTATTTATGGAAACAAGCAATGGACCTAGTTTTTTTCTCCTGAACTACATAGGGGCTACTGGTCCCTGACCTAGCAGGAAGAGCTCTAGGGACTCTGGTATAAGCAGCCCCTTATACTTCATACTGCTGGAGCCCATGAAATACCTCTTTCTTTGTTTCTGGATTTAACAAAATAAAAAGCCTACTCACCTTAATTTCATCCCTTACCCTTAACTGTTTCTAGTAAAAACATTTTGGGACTGGAGATACAGTTCCTCAAATACACCCACACCCACACCCCCCCACACACACACATACACACACACACACACACACACACACACACACACACACACACCATTCTAATTCACATTGCTCCTTTTGTCAATCTCTAGCTTCTCCCTAAAGTTCAAACCATGGAAGCAAATCTAGACTTTTTAAAAGAGATTTATTTTTGTTTTATGAGTCTTTTGGCTGCCTGTATGTATGTTTGTGCAGCTACATCTGTGCCTGGTGCCCATGGAAACCAGAAGAAGTTGTCAGATCCTCTGGAATTAAAGTTACATATGGTTGTGAGCCGCTATGTGGCTCCTAGGAATTGAAGCCAGGTCCTATGGAAGAACCAATGCTCTTAACTGATAAGCCACTTCTCCAGCCCCAAACTTAGATTCTTTTAACACAGTAATCTAAAGTTTTAAACTGTTGGTGTGGAGCAGTGGCTCAGCAGTTAAGGCCACTTATTGCTCCTGCAGAGGACTCAAGTTCCCAGTACCCACATGGTGGCTCACAATCATCCATTGTTAGTATTCGGGCATCTGTACTGGCCTGTTCTTGGGGTTCTGACAGGATATACCCTCAGCTGCAGCCACTAAGAACACCACCTGTGCACATTCACTATGTTCCCTTTTAAAAGGGCCCTGCCTACCTCCCATCTCTGTCTGTCTGTCTGTCTGTCTGTCTGTCTCTCTCTGTCTGTTTCTCCCTCTTTCATCTCTCTCCCCCTTTCTTCTTTCTCCTCTCTCCTGCTGCTCCTGTCTCTGGAGGCCGGTCTCCCCGCTCTCCTTTACCCTTTTTATGATCCCTTTCCCAAAAACAACCTCTGCTTGAACCCTGTCACATGGTGTCTTTCTCTTGAACCACTTTTCTTAAATTACAACATCCATAACTCCAGTTCCAGGGGATCCAACACTCTCCTCTGAACTCCACAATTACCAGGTACAAGTGTAATGCACATGCATACATGCAGGCAAAACAAATAATTGCTTTAAAATATTTAAATATATTTAGAACCCTAGGGACAGAAACTGAAGCAAAAATTGATAGGTGAAGTGCCTGGTTAAAAAAAATAGCTAAGCATTTACAAGACAAATTGTCCTTAAGACTCTGAAGGCTGGTAGAACACATGCCAAACATGTGTGAGATGCTGAGTTCTACCCCAGTACGGAAAAAAATTCTTAGAAATTACACACACACACACACACACACACACACACACACACACACACACACACACAAAGTCACAGGAGGAATTACTTCTAAATATCATCTTAAAATATAATTTAACATGCTTGGATATTTAATTATTCACAATTTTAATGGCATGTATTGTGTGTGTGATGTGTGTGCATGAGTGCACATGCCATGCTGTGCACGTGGAGGTTAGAGGGCAGTTTAGTGGGGACAGTTGTCTCTTTTCACCTTTATGTGGGTCCAAAGCATTGAACTTGGGTATTAGGCTTGCATAGCAAGCCCTCTACCTGACTGAGCCATTTCACTTGCTGACAGTTTTAAATAACTCAAATAGCACTGTGATAAGTGGTTTCTACACAATTTCTATATCGTATTTTGACCTAAGAGAATCTCAGAGTACAGGTATCAAAATAGGGCACCTACATACAATGTAGGTTCTTAATACCTCAAGGCAAAATTGCCTTCTTGAAAGATTATACCAGTTTATCCTCCTCCTACGAGACATATGAAACTCCATATTTCAGTATACCTTTTTAAAAAAAATCAGTGTTTTCTTTTTCCTAAACTATATCTTGTATTTTGCTTAGAAAACTTTGCTGTACATTAAGTTCATTGGTAGCCAGTTGACAAGAAGAGTTTCACCCTGGACTGGACTTTAGCTTTCGCCTGTCTCCTGTTATTCTGGAACTGGTATGCAGGACAGTGTCCACACACAGTGATCTCTGAGCAAGCTGCAGTAATATTTGACATGTGAGTTGAAGATACAACCATCAGCACCTAATGGCCAGTTGGTGAAGAGTGTTGCTAGTGGCTGTCTAAGTCCATCTACCTTTTCTTGAGAATAATGATGGTGGTGGTGGTGGTGTGGTGTGGTGTGGTGTGTGTGTATACATACATGTGTAGGTGTTTGCATGTGTGCACATAATCAACACCAGATGTCTAGATGAAGTGTGTCCCTCTGTCTCTCTCTACCTTAGTTTTTTGAGGCAGTGTATCTCACTGAACCTAAAGCTCATCAGTTAGGTCTGAATGCCTTGTCAGTGAGTTTCTAGTATCTGCCTGTGCTCTTAGCACTGAAATTACAGAGTTATGCCACCACACACAACTTTTTACATGGTACTGGGAACCAAACTCGGGTCCTCATGCTGTGGCAGCAAGCACTTTACCCATTAAGCCATCTTCCCTGTCCTGGGAATCATGATGGTTTCTAAAGCTTAATGTGTAGAAGAAATATTCTTTTAAGTTTTCAACCTGTTTTGTGCTTCCAGCACATTACAGAATTGGTGTAATGAATACATTTATCTTCTTACAGTTCTGGAGGCTGCAAAGTCTAAGACCAAGGCTTAAGCCTGAGGTCTAGTAAGGGTCTTCTTGCTGTGTCTTCACATGGCTGAAGAGTTAAAGAGCAAGTTAACTAAATGCTGGTCAGAGCCTCTGTTACTAAAGGCCTTGAGGCCATTGGTGAGATAGGAACCCATGGTTTAATTTCTTCTTACAGGATCCACTTGTAATATTTTTGCTGGCAACACCTGCATTCTGAAGGATAAAATAAGGGAGACAGGAGCAGGAGAGGTGGCTCAGAGCTCTTGTTCTTATAGAAGAACCAGGTTCAATTTTCAACACCCACTGGCAGCTCACCGATGCCCTCTTCTGACCTCCAAGTGCACCAGGCACATATGTGGTACGCAGACATGCAAGCAAAACATGCATACATATCACCTCCCTCTGCCCCTGAATGCTGGGATTGAAAGCATGCGCCACCACTGCCTGGCTTCAGTGATCTTTTTAAAGAGTGTTCAGGGTTTTGGTTTTTATTTTCTGAATGATTATACTAAAATGGCAAAAACAAGCTAGGTACAGTGGCATTATCTGAACTAGGAGTTCAAGACCGCACCGGGCAGCATTTTTTAAAGGCAGTTTTAGTACTATATATAGACTAAAAGTCAGATATTTATATGAAATAAGTATCTTTACCTTGTTTTAATATCTTCCAAGTTTCTAAGGAAAGACATTTTTAGGTCAGTGCTAAAATTTAGTTAAATTTTGGTTAAAATGGTAGCCACTAGCCTATCATGTTTGTTATTCCCCGCTTCCTCCTCCCCCCATTGTGGAATAATTAGGTTGCAACACTGGAAATTTTGTATTTTGAGAATGGGTGATTCGTGTAAAAGAGAGAATAACAATTAGCATGGCTCTGCTAGCTGAAGCCTACTTTACTTATAATCGAAACAAGTGCTTTCTTATAAAAATTCAACATTGATACCCCTGGTAATTACTGCGCTTAACTATACTGAGACTATTTTGATTTACTTTGGCATTCACTGGAGAAGGAGAAACTACTTGAAGTTTCCCGCATTCCTCATCTCCTTTAGGGGAATGTCACTCACTATGTCCTATGTGGATTTGCTTTCCCAAGATAGAAGTTGAGGTGGAGTGGTGGCATCAATGTTGACATCAACCTAAATGAAAATGAAGACACATTTTGTTGTTGTTTACCTTCAGGTACGCCCTGTCATCTGAACTTGGTTGTGACATTTCTAGTGTTTATGTGTCTCTCTTGCCCTTCATCCATGAGAATACTGAAAAAGAAAATGAAAACTGAATCCTTGAATTTCTATTTTGGATCATTTTGTAGTGTTAGAGAAAATATGTATTTCTGTCTTTAGCACAGTAGAATTAAAACAATAATCTATGGCACTCTTGAGAGCCAAACTTTGAAACATGAATTGCATTGAAATAATTTTGAAATTCATTCTTAGCAGAAGCTGTATTTAATTAGGATAATATGGGTCTGAGAATTAATTTTCACCTCAAGTTCTTTGCCATATGTTTTTGATGAAGATGTTTACTTACAACTAAGTTAACAGTTTAGAGTCTAAAATAGGGATTTTATAACCTTCAACCAAGTGTTTATAACATTTACACTTTCTAATCCTGCTCCATCATACCATTTTTATCAGTTAAAAATTAATAAGAAGGGGAGAAAACATGGTAATTAAGAGTATTGGCTGCTCTTCCAGAGGACAGTTTCAATTCCCAGCACCCCCATAGCCTCCCACAACTGTCCAAAATTCCAGTCCCAGAGAAACCAACACCCTTTTCTGGTCTCTGTGGCTACCTGACACTCATTTAGTACATAGACATACGTACAGGGAAACCACTCATACACATAAAATAAATAAATACATAATTTCAGAAAAATAATGGGGGAAATAACATTAACAATTTAAAAATTGGACTACATGTATGTACGTATGCACACATTCATTCATTTGTAAACTATGTTTACTTAATTGCATTTTATTTCATATATCCTATAAATTGACATACACCACAGAAATTTTTTTTGTTTTTTTTGGGGGGGGTGTTTTTTGTTGTTTTTTGGTTTTGGTTTTGGTTTTTTGAGACAGGTTTTCTCTGTGACTTTGGAGGCTGTCCTGGAACTAGCTCTTGTAGACCAGGCTGGTTTCAAACTAACAGAGATTCACCTGCCTCTGCCTCCCGAGTGCTGGGATCAAAGGTCTGCGCCACCAATGCCCAGCTGTTTTTGCTTTTTTGAGACAGGGTTTCTCTTTGTAACAGCTCTGGCTGACATAGAACTCACTCTGAGGAACAGGATGGCCTTGAACTCACAGAAATCTACCTGCCTCTGCCTCCTGAGGGCTGGGATTAAAGGCATGCACCACCATCAACCAGCTAAGAAACTTTTAATTCTAAGAAATAAGCAATGTGGATAAAAATTAAGTTGTGTATACTAACAGAGCAGTAAAAATTCAATTTAAAATAACAAACCTCAACCAAAAGCAACAAGCCTCTAATATGCTTTTTTAAAATAACACAACAACAATGATTTAGGCTGATTTCGAATTCATTTCAATGCCATCTTGTAATTATGTGGTAATGTTGAAACTTGCTGATTATTTTTTTTTACATTTAGTACTTGTAATATACTATTTGTATATTATGGTATTCCATACAATTTTTGTTCTTGTTTAGTTTTTTGAGACAGGTCTCTGTCTGTAGCACAGGCTGGCTGGAACTCATTATATAACCCAGGCTAGCCTGAAACTCACAACCATCTTCCTGCCATGTCCTCCTGAGTACTAGGATTGCAGGCATGAGCTGCCATGCCTGGGATTCCATGCAATTGTTAAGGCTGAAAACACTGGTAATATTGGTGTAATACTTTGGATTCAATCAGTCTGCAGTCCCCCAACCTCTTCGTTTGTTCTATTTTGTGATCCCCTTCATTCCTAACACTCTCTTTGTCAACTTTAATCTCTAAATTGAAGCAGCTATCTGTGCTCCAAACACAGACACATGTGCACGCGCGCGCGCGCGCGCACGCGCGCGCACACACACACACACACACACACACACACACACACACACACACACACTGATAATGAAGACAGCCCTCAAAAGATGGTGTATCTTTCTGTGGAGGAAGAGGAAGAGTCAAACGGCAGAGCTGCTCAGCTGTATGGAAGCCGCACTGGAGGATCTCTGCACACGACAGGAAGAGCCTTTATAACTGTGTAGTGTTCTTACAGGTTGCTTCTTCATTTGTTCAACTTTTGATAATTTGATCGCGTTTTCTTCTTCATTTCCTCCCAAGTTTTTATTTAAGAAAACAAGCCTATAGAAAAGTTGAAAGAATTGTCTCATATTTTTCATTAGCTGATCTTCTGATTATTGAAGATGCCACCAGTAGGGGAACCTAGGTTTAAGGAAACCCAGCTCTCTGTACTGTTTTCCCGATTTCTGTAGATCAATCTAAAGTTATTTCCAAATAACTTTCCTCTTGGATCTGGGGAGGTGGTTCATGCCATAAAAGAGCTTGCACACAAGCACAAGACCCTGACTTTGGATCCAAAGCACCACATAAAAGCTAGGGTAGTGGTAGGCGGCTGGGGTTCCAGCACTGGAACTCATTGGCCAGTCAGCCTAGCCAAACTGATAAGCTCCAGGTTCATCCTCTCAATAAATAACATGGATACTGACCGAGGAAGACCACCAGGGTCAACCTCTAGCCTCCACGCATGCACACACATGCACACATCTACACACACAATATGCACACATGCACACACATTTTTCTTAAGATACTGGTTTATTCTGTATTCCCTTACCACATTTTCCCCCCCTTCGGAACTGAAGACTGAGACCAGTCCTAGCAAGCACCGTACCACTGAGATAAATTCTCAACCCCTACTTACTGAACTTAGTAGAGCTCCGATGTCACATCGAATACAACTATTGGCTCTAAGAATATGTTAGTGACCAAACTGGCCAAAAATTCCCGTGCAATGGAGCTTGCATTTCACTTGCCTGTCATATTAGGTAGCGTAACTGTGAAGGAGAAAATGCAGAGCAGAGGTGGGTAGCAAGAGTGTAGAAGAGGTATTGACATTTTATGTGTGATGAGTGTAATAATCAAGTGCCTTTTTGAGAAAGGGATAGCTTGGGAATGAGTGAAAGAGATGAAGAATAAGCTATGCAGGTATCTAGGTAAAAGGCCTTCATAGACTTTGTTTTACCTGAGATTAATAGCAAAAGTCCTGAAGAGGCTGTGGGCTATGGTGTTTCGGGGATGGTGAGGAAGCTAATGAGGTGTGCGGTCAAGTCCAACAGATGGGATTAGGGAGACACAGTGGGGAACAGTTTGATACGCAAGCCAGGCATTCAGTCTGGACAGCATATGCATGAATTCAAATTACATGATGAACCCATCAATGGAATGAGAATAGAGAAATGCCTATGAACTCTATGGCACCCTTAGAGATTTGAGAATTAATCAGTCAGAGAAACAGAAATGAAAGCTTGCTTCCTTTAGGACTAAAGTCTTGTGTTAGCATGTGAAATTCTCCATATATTGACCCACATATACCTTTATACTTTTTCCTTTTTTATACTGGCTCTCTCTCTCTCTCTCTCTCTCTCTCTCTCTCTCTCTCTCTCTCTCTCTCTCTCTGTGTGTGTGTGTGTGTGTGTGTGTGTGTGTGTGTGTGTGTGTGTGTGTGTGTGTGTGTGTGTGTGTGTGTGTGTTCAGGGAATGAACCCAAGGTCTTACACATGCTGGGCATGCTAGTCTCCATTCTTTGAAACACTCTTTTCTCCTATTGCCCATATCTGACTTACTCTTTTATTTCAAACTTTAAGATTCAGCTCACCTGTAACTTCCTCAAAGATCTACCAGATGATTTAGTTCCCTCTTCCGTGTCCTTTACCCCATTCATCACGTAGACTAATCACCAAGCATCACATAGTCCTCCTCATTGCCTTGCTCCTGTTGCTGCATGTGAAAACTTGGTTTCTTCCTCTGGGTCTAAATCGCTTATTTATATATTTCTGCAGAGAGTTACTGTACAGTCCTTGGGGTTCTATGTTTTATTCATTGTTTAATATCTCACACAAATGTTTAATACTTGGTTGGAACTTAAATAATATTTATTTAATAAATTTGAAAGCTAATACCAATAAACTATCCAAAGTAGAGAAGAATCTTACATAGGCCCAGCCTTTGCAACTGTGTTTAAAGCTGGATTGTAGAGCAGGTTGTTGTGAGAGATGTTGTTATATGTGCCTCAGAGGAAATGAGAAACATTCCAGGGAGCCAGTGCTCACCATCATCCCCAAGGAGCGGAAGGACTCCCTAGATTCAATGGCCTGAGTAATTTCTTTCTGTGCTTTTTATTAAAAAGCTGTCTGGTAAAGTGTTTTACCAAGCAGATCGAAGCAAGTACAGTGGGTTCATTATTTGAAAATTTGTTTGTATAACATTTCTGGAATATTTGATTACTTTGTCATTTTTTAAACAAATTACCCCAACCTGTCTGTCAGGTGTTGGAATTCCTCAACTTCATAGGGATGTGAATAAATAGGTAGTTTCAAGTCAAGATTTCCATACTGGGTACTAGTCTTCCCATGAATCATAGAGTTGTTACTTAACCTCACAGAAGCATGGCTAGGCAGTAGAAGGGTGGAGACAGACTGAAAAGCCAAAAGATTTTAAGGAATTTAAGGAGTAGAATCTAAAAAAGGTGTTAGTAGGAGTGAGGTTTTATGTTTATAAGTATATTAAATGAACACATGAGAATTGAATCATATTTTTAAAGATTTTATAAATTTCCCTCAGTATTAAAATACTTTTCTTTGGCATAACCATAAATATTTATAAGGTGAAGCAAATATGCCCTCTTTGTTTTCAGTGGGTACAGATGAACTACATGTCAAATGTCAAGTAACACTGATAGTTACAGTCAAATGAAAGTGTTCATAGAAGAAAGCTCTAGTCTTTTTATTCTGAGCACTGTCCTCTGTGTAGTATTCTTCATTTTTAAAGTGTTTTAAGATCCAACTAAAGCTCACTTTAGAAATTTATTTTCACTTTCTCAAATGAAGCTTTAGACATGTGTTTCTAATAATTCATTGAAATATGCTGAATTGTATATTTTTAAAGAGAATCTGTTTTGAAAAAATTCCAAAATATTTGTTTGAACAGGCACTCAACATCTCGATGAAAACGGTTGGAAAAGAAAAACTTTCAAAGTCATTCTGTTCTCAGAGTACCCAAGCCAACTAAACTGGTACAATTAACGCTTCAGTCAGAGGCAGGAGCCAAGAAATCTAGCACTTCCCAGACAGCTTTTCAGCAGACCTTCAAACCAACCCAGAGGTTGATATTAATACCATTGGATTTCAGAGTAAAAAGCTACAAGATCATCTATACCTCTTTCTGCCAATATTAGACCTTTTTAGTAGCATAAGTATCTGCCTGAAGTTAGCTTCTTGAATTTTATTAGCATTGATGCTGCAGGAATGTCCTTCAGAGTGTGAGCTTCCCAATGTAGCATCTCCCGTGTGTGTGTGTGTGTGTGTGTGTGTGTGTGTGTGTGTGTGTGTGTGTGTGTGTGTCTGTGTGTCTGTGTGTCTGTGTGTCTGTGTGTCTGTGTCTGTGTGTGTGTCTGTGTGTGTGTGGTGTGTATATTGGAGGCCAGAAGTCAATGCTGGACATCTTCCTCCATTGCACTCCTCCTTTTCTTTGCAGACGGGGTTACTCATTGAACCTGGAGCTCATCATTTGCCCTCATTGGCCAGCCAGTGAGCTCCAGTGAGTCACTTGTTTCTGCCTCCTCCCCAGAACTGGGCTAAATGCATGGCCTCTGTGCTTGTCTGTGTATGCTGGATATGGAAATTCATTTCCTCAAACTGTGGCAAGCACTTTACACCCTGAACATAGCCATATCCCCAGATATCAATATTTTTACATTGCCTTTAAAGTATCACTGCCTTTAAGTGTCATGGTGGAAATAGAATTAATATATCACATCATAACACTTTAGAGAGAGTGGTAATTATACTAGGCATATGTAGAAGTAGTGATTGTTTAGCTTCTTACCCGTTTATTTTCACTGTATCCCCTTAAAATTTATGGATAGCACTTAATGCATTTGCCAGTATATTTGATATATAATATGTCATGTTGATCTCTCTGCCATGCATTTGCTTTTATAAGCACTCTAGCCACTATTCATTAAATTGACTAGTTGATACCTTTATTTGGATGTTGTCATGGAGAATAAATAGCAAATGACTCAAAGGTTCTGTATGTCAGAAAGAGAATACTAAACTCAACACCTACCATATCACAGAGTTTGTTAGAAAAATAGCAGAAATCAAAGTTTCCTTCACTTGGATTTTCAGTTGTACCCACAAGGTTAGATCAACAGTCTCCCAAGTCAGTCACCAACTTCAGTGTGTCACAAGCTTCTCTCAGAACTGGGAGTGCAAAAGAGCCGTGTGAGAGTAGGATTGTCTCTTGGGGTTTGGTTTTCATTATTCTTCCCAGTGTAGAAGGTGAAAGAGTAACAGCCACAGTTGGAGACACAGTGTTATTTCCCACTGCAAAGGGTCTGCGACTTGGCAGAGGAAGGCAATGCTCCATGCAATTCTACCTTGTCCAATTCTATTTGGACTGTTTATTGCTGAAAACTTAGAAGGCACATGAGGGACTTTCAGAAAGACACTAAGGGGCTGACTGGAGATGCTGGTTGAAAGCCAGAGTCTGCAGTTCATCAGGACATAGTTGGGGAGGAAACAAACACACACATAATAGGTAGCAGAGTATGTTAGCAAGGCCCAAGGAAAGTAAGTGAGGCACAGTCTCTCTAGCGCCGCGATGCGCCATTTGACCCGCTGTGGATAGTCACACAAAGGAAGAGGCTGATTAGGACATGAACCCAGAAGCAGGAATCCATTTGACCCGCTGTGGGTAGGCAGGCAAAGAAAGAGGCTGATTGGGACATGAACCAAGAAGCAGGAATCCATTTGACCCGCTGTGGGTAGGCAGGCAAAGAAAGAGGCTGATTGGGACATGAACCAAGAAGCAGGAATTTTGTTTGTCAAAGGAAGTAACTTTGGCTTATAGAAGGAGTTGAAGAAGGAGTAGAGGTTCTTCAGTAAAAGGACATTTTTGTTTATAATTTCTCTGATATGGTGCCAGAAGTATTTTAAAAGACTAATCAAAGCTGTTTCTATCTAAGCCACACTGTTGGAGACCAACAGCTGATACATTTTGTTTTTCTTTGCTATATTTTTCATTAATGACTTCTTAAGCTTATTCCCCTCTCTCTACTCTGTTGCTAAACCCCTTAAGATTCAAGTGTGTTTAAAGAAAAAGCATTATGAGACAAAAGCTGTATTCTGTGGGTAGGATAATACTTCTTTTATGACACTTTCTTTTCCCACCAAAAGTGAGAAGTGAATGCCTTGCCTTTGTGAATCCCATTTCAAATGGAGGACAAGAAGTTATTCTCTGCAATGGCTGACTTCCAGAATTTTTGCCTGAACGTTTTTTGTCAAGTATATATTCCCTTCTTTAGGCCTTTCTATATAGAGCCTACAAACATCGTCAATGTGAATGATGTCATTCAGAGGGTTAGTGACCATGCCTCTGCTATGAACAAGCGGATTCAGTACTACAGCCGGCTCACCACTCCTGCAGACAAGGCACTGGTAAGAGGCAAAGCTCTGCCGCTTGTCTAAAGTTGAGTTGAAATGAACAGTAAACACCAAAAACCAGGGCAACTCCCAAGGGTTGAACTTCTCCATGGTAGTAGTCCAAAGATAGCATCATGCAAAGTAAAAGTAGTAGTTAATACGTGTTTCGGTCTTGTTCGTTCTTATCTACTCTGGCATAGACATTGTTGAAACTCTCTGTTCACAATAACTTGGAGCACTCTTCTTTGTTTTTAATTTTTGCTTATCTCAGATACTAAGAGCTCTGATGAAGACAAATTTCTTTTGAAACAACAACTTAGATCATTGACTAACAGTGTAAGATTCTGGCTAGTTTGTTTAGTTTCTATAACATTTTCCTTAGGCATAAGAAACAAATATGCTCATACATATACCTGATAGTTTCCTGTTTAGCATTTCCTTTTATAAATAAAAATAGCCACATGCTATTACAGTTCATTGTTTTGGCTTATAAATATTAATAAAAATTTAGGAAAGGGATGCAAATGTAATAAAGGCCAAATTTGCATTAGGAGTCAAAGCTTATGCATTCATGATTTTCTGAAGTATGTCTTATTATTTTAGAATGTAAAAATGTATAAGTATCCAGCCAGGTGGTGGTGGCACACGCCTTTAATCTCAGCACTCAGGAGGCAGAGGCAGGCAGATCTCTGTGAGTTCGAGACCAGCATGGTCTACAAGAGCTAGTTCCAGGACAGCCTCCAAAGCCACAGAGAAACCCTGTCTCGAAAAACCAAAAAAAAAAAAAGTATAAGTATGCTTATAATAGTGATCAGCTGTGAGATACTCAGAAATTTGAAAGCTTTAAAAAATACAGTAAATGTACATCTTAAAGCCGATCTTAGTAGCAAAACCGAAAAAAGCAAGTGGCCTTTAACCTTCACTAGATATCTACCAAGGGCAAGGAGTGGGTACCACTTGACCATGGTCATCTGATTTAACCCCATAATGGCCATGTGAAGTAAGCATTAAGATCTTGTCTTTGTTTGGATAGCGTCTCATGAAGTCCAGGCTAATCTCCAACTCTCTATGTGTCTGAGAGTAACCTTGAACTCCTGAGCTCCCTGCCTTCTCACTTTGGTTTCTAGGCATGAACTGGCTCTAAAATCCCAAGAGAAGACTTCTGAAATGTTATGTGCAGAATAATTTTTTACAATTTTTATTTTTTATTCCCTCTTCTCATCCAGGACTTTACAGTAGTATTGATTTTAAAGTCCATTTAATTATCTAATCTTTGGAGATTTGAGGTTATTGTCTGACAGACTCTCCAAATGCTATATTCTTAGAAACAGTCTGCAGAGTATCATCTAGGGCTGAATGAATATCACATTGTGCACTGAGTTGTAACACTTTGTTAACTGACACTGAGATGGCTTTGTACATCTAAATGGTCACCAAAGTGATGGATCCGTTTATAGTGAATTTGTATAAATATCCACATTCATTTTCTAAAATCCTAAAGTCATTTTCCCTAAAAGTATGTTTTGAAGAAGAATAATAAATTATTGTTACCAAATGTTCATAGAGTAAAACCTTTTCATTTATGAAAAAATTCCCATTATTGTTATTCGAAGCTGGAGAAGGGAGAAAGTTGTCTGACAGCATCTCCTAGATCCTTGCTAATAAGCACATATATCTAGAGATCAGCATCATCAGCATCACTGAGAGCTTAGTAAAAAGGCATTGTGTGGGACTTAGTCAGAACCAGTGAAGCATAGTCCGCATGTCAGCAAGATCCTTGTGTGTGTCATAGGAACATTCGGATGAAAGTGCCACTCTAGACCACTGCCACAGTGAGAGCCAGCCCTCCAGTTTTCCATGCCTCCTAAGAACACCCCTTCTCATGCATAATCCAGACCCAGAGACTGAGCACAGGACGTAGAGTCAGGTGATGTGTACATAGAGTAGGTTCTTTCTTCCTTTTTGTGTACATCAGTGTGAGAATACACCAGCCCCAGAGACTGAACACAGAGCACTGGCTTAGGTGAAGAGGACGTGGAGTGGGTTCATTCTTCCTTGTTGTGTACATCAGTGTGAGAACACAACCAGAATTTTCTACCTCGTATTGAACCATGCTCCTTATAAGTTTTGATTTTACTTGTTTTTATCCCCAGTTTGCTTTGTCAGCTGTAGTATTTTTCCTTCTTGATGTGGCATACATACTCTTATACTTTTTCTTCTTTTTACTCATGGCAGAAGACAAGATAATCTAGATTTTAGAGGAGTGTGGGTGAAGAGAAGGAAAAAGACAATTTTCTTATGTATTTTTATCTGTATCTCTGGGAACTAGTTGTTTCTGAAGCCACACACCACACATGGCACTCAGGATATTCTTTCCTACAAAGATAGCATTAATCTCACTGCATTAAAAGGGAAGGATGTGACATTGTTGTACTAATATCTATGTCCTTTCTTCCTATTAAGGCTGATACTCACTCCATCTTTTCCTTGAAGTCTTCCTCTAGCTAGTTTGGTTCGCATTTTTTATCCAGTGAGATACAACAGCAGAGTTGAACTCATACCTTCTAGTCTTGCCTGATTGTTTCACGTGTCTGACTGGAATTTGAGACAGTTTGAGGCTGTTAGTTTACTCAAATAAGAAACTTAGCACAAAGTTGCAATTTTATATGCAGGTGTTAAGTATTAAAAGAGTCACACTAGTTCATATTCATCAGATTCCATGCCTTTAAGGACTTCCTCTTCTCCAAGAACAGCCTTCAAGAGCTGAGCAGTTTCATCAGGGAAACAGGATGGGTTTTCCCCTCCAAAATAGGAAGGTAGAGTTAGAAGAAATGTAGGCGGTAATAAGAGAAATAAGTGTATACGATACATCTCTTCAGTCTTCTTTGCTACATCGGATACTTCTCTGTTGCCTCCTTCCCTTTTGCTTATATACTTGAGTGTCCTGGCTCCTAAAATCCTTGTTTCACCATTCATTAAGTTGCTGTTTCTTTTACTCAAAGCATTCTAAAATTAGTCTATATACTATCCATTAGCCCCTCAATTCTTTAGTCTGTTTCTTCTAAACCACCTTCACCTCAGAGTTAAGTAACCCCACTCAGTTCTTGAAAAACTCATGTAAGAATGGCCTGCTCAGTGGAGAGTTTTCATTTTATTCTTTGCTTCCCTCTTTCTCATGAGTGTGAAAAGTACTTTGATGGTTAGATAGAAATTATTGCTCCTTTATATCTACCACTATACTTGAAAAAATAACTTTTAATTCCTTAATCAGGGATGCATAATATTGTTTATGATACTTAAAAATATATCTAGAAATATCTTAAAGATATGCATGCTGGAGGGTTTTTATAATCCCAACACTCATGTACCAAAGACAGGAAGATCACACATTTGAGATGGGGGGGGAGAAAAGATATGGACGGCAAAGGCCCAAATGTATCTTCCTGGCACCTGCCTACAAGGGACCCATCAACCAGAGCCTCCCAGGTCAATGTCAGTCTTAGAAGTGTGTCTAACCCATTTCTTTTTGTTCATTCACTGGTTGTGATGTTTCTCTCTTCTTTTCCCCAAGATTGCTCCAGACCACGTCGTCCCAGCTCCAGAGGAATGCTATGTGTACAGTCCACTGGGCTCTGCCTATAAACTTCAGAGTTACACTGAAGGCTATGGTAAAAACACCAGCTTAGTAACTATGTGAGTAAAAGTACTTCTGGGAGTGTGAATTAAACTGTATATGAGTGAAAATAACTGGTTGTTTAGTTCTGTCTTAATTAAAATGTTCGAGGAGCCCAACTTCATATTTGTATTGCTATTTACTCTTTCAGTTTTATGATTTGGAATACCATGATGGGAACATCTATACTAAGTATTCCTTGGGGCATAAAACAGGTAAGATAAGTTTTGAGTATACTTTAATCTGAAAATTTATTATTTTTATTTTTAATTGTGTAAATGTGTGAGGCTAAGTGTGGGTATGGGCATATAAGTGCCTGTGTCCATGGAGGCCAGAGATTAGGTTCCCCCTACAGCTGAGTTACAGGCAGTTGTAAGCCACCCAACATGGCTGCTGTGAACCAGGCCCAGCACTCTGAAAGGCTGGTGTTCGTTCTTAACTGCTGAGCATCTCTCCAACCCCTGAATTTGTTTTTTTATCTATAATCCCAGCACTTAGGCTAAAATGACAGGATCATGAGTTCAAGACTAGTTTGGACTGCATAGTAAACTTTAAGCCAGAGTGTTTTTATTCCATATGTCTCCAAAATAGATAAATAACTTAATTAAATAATAACTTTGAAATTTTTACTTTAAGTTTGGGGCTCGGAATAAAGCTCAACGGTAGCATGCTTTCCTAGCTTACATGAAGTTCTGAGTTCAATTACTAGCACTGTAAAAAAATGACTTCTATATTTGTTTTATTGTTTACATAAAATTCTCTTTAAAAAGCAGATGGTCTTTACATTTTTCTGTTGTCATGTTTTTATCATAATTGTTTAGGGTAACAATGTAATTTCTTATGAAGTTATTCTTACATAGTGAAAGGAACCCAATTTTTTATCTTTCAAAAGGCAGGATTCACTACTGGAATGTGTGTCATCGTGCTGATGGGCCTTTTGACACTGTATTGTTGCTACAGAGTGGTGAAATCACGGAGTATGATATGTAAGTAAAAATACATTGTTGCACGAATTAACAAACTTTGCTATTGAGCGGATCCTACGGTGTATATTCTGTGTGTGTGTGTGTGAGCCGTCTCCTTTTACTTTTTATCAGTGTATGAGTGTGTGTGTCACAGTGCACACACGGAGGTTAAAGGACAGTTTGCAGGTGTCAGTTTTCTTCTTCCACCATGCATTCTCTGGGATTGAACTCAGATTGTCAGGGTCGGTGGCTCCCTAACCTCCTGAGCCAGCTCCAGCCAACAACTTTTACATAAATCTTTACTCTTCTAATCCATAGCTTTCCGCTGACCAGTCTGCTGATGAGTTTCTGGCTCCCTCTGAAATCCAGAACCGGGAGTTCTTTGGAGAATACATTTATATTAATGCTTGATGTCCTTATAGGAATAATAAAAGTGTCATTTACAGACATGATTACATTTTATTATTGTGTGCATGAGTGCTTATGGACTTCAGAAGACTACTTGATGGAGACAGTTTGCTCTCCTTCCACCCTCAGGGTCCTGGAGATTAAACTCAGGTTCTCAAGTTTGGTGGCAAGTGCCTCTCCCTCTCATTGGCCCAAAAATGGTATACTTTTAAAACAAAGCCTTTGTTAGATTATTAAGAACTCTATGGTTCTTACCAATTACTGCTTACTTGTTTTGACTCTACATAGCAGACCTGAAAGCATAAAGTATCAACAGAAAAATATCCAAGTGTAAGCAGTTCTTGAAGTTGTATAAACACATTTCCTCTACTTATTTGTATAAATTTCTGGATCAGGGAATCAGGAAGTTAATCTTGTTGTTTGTAAGCTTGAAATTGGGTCTTGTTGAATTGCTATGGCTAGTTTCAGTCTTGAGTAGAAATGATGTTACCCAACCCATGCCTGCTTTATTCTCCTGAGCAGCTGAACTGGTGTGTGCTACTACACAGAAACATCGTTTTAAGTCATTTTCACATATTTTAAACTGAGTATGGTGATGCATGCCTATCATCTCAGAATTCCAAGGTTATCCTCAACTACATAAAGGGTTCAAGGCCAGCCTAGACTACATGAGACTCTCTCTCAAAAAATAAAAATAAAAAAGCAAAACATATATATAAGCACTTTTAGGGATTGACAGACATGTATTTTTCATTCAGTCTTATTAGCATGTTCCAACCAACCTCTAATTTGTAGCCTCTTTCTTTAATTAAACCTAGTCTTAGTCACTTGGGGAGTATTGTTTAAAATCTTGGGAGAAGTCTTGTTTAAAAATCCTTCAAGTTCTCAGTTGAGCTTGTTTAGCCTTTGGTTTCTGCGGTTTTGGTTCTGACTGAAATGGGAAGAACTCTTTATGTAGAAAGTGTGGAACTTACATCAGGTTGTCTGTGTGGTGGAAACATGGCCTCCCCTACACTCACTTCTGACTGTTACAGGTAACACCTGTGTTTCCTAAATGTTCCCATTTAAAAGGGTAAACTTACATCAGTTCATTTTACAAACAGAACCCCAAAGCAAAGCCTGACAGGATATAAAAAGAAAGAAAAACAGTTACAAACATTATTTGATAGAATCAGTGATATACAAAAATACTATCTTGTGTTTAAGATAGGGTTTATTCCGATGATGTGAGAAGTATGCTCTATTAAGAAACCCAACGTAATTCACTACATTAACAAAATAAAGGTAAAATCCATGATTACATCAAAAGATACACTTCCAAAAGCATTTGATGGAGTTCAGCATCCTTTTCTTAGTAAAGTTCTAAGGAAAATACTGTTTTAACAAATTAAAGACTGTTCATCCCTAAACCAAGATCAGCAGTATTCTACAGTGATAAAATCCTTAAAGCGATTTTTATTTAAGTCAAGAAAACATTGAGGCTGCTCATAATTATTCATAGGGGTTTTTGAGATATTATCAAATACAGCAAAAGAATTTTGGACTAATATAAAACTAGAAAAGATTAGTAATTATAGCAAAAAATTATTAGAATGTTGACTAGTGCTATTAGAATTAATGAAAATCTGATAGTTGACTGCATATGAAGTCAGGGATCAACAGCTAGAACTACAGTGCAGAGAACATTGCTCCATTCACCACAGCAGTAAACCCTAAGGGGTTTAGATAAAATTTATCAGGAGTATACATTTAATGGGAGAAAAATACAAACTACCTAAGTGCAAGAACTAAATCTACACAAGTAAGAAAAACGTGCTGTGCCGTTTGGAAGATTCACTATTGTAAACCATAAAAAATCAAATGTATAAATTCAGTCCTATTTCAAACACAGTCGAGAAAATTAGGGGAAAAAAAGAAGTGGAACGGAAGAATCAGACTCACCAGGTATAAAACCACGTTATGTAGTCATGCTAATAAGGCAGAAAGCTGCCAGCTTAGAAACAGGAAGAAGGTCGAGTGGAAGGGCCAGAGAGATGACTAAGTGGTTAAGAGTACTTGCTGCTCTCCTTCAGGACCAGGTTTGCTTCCCTGTGCCTAATGGCATCTCACAACTGTCTGCACCTCTAGTTCTTGAGGCTCAAACGTCCTCTTTGAGCCCAGGGCATGCATGTGTTACACAGGAAAAGCATCCATACGCATGAAATAAAAATTTAATCTTTATATAAACTAGACTGGAAAAGGAAATGCAAATTTCAGGTTTATGAGTTTAAAATGTTCTATGCGATGTAAATTTCAGGTTTATGTGTTTAATATGTCCTATTCTGTGTCTGTTAAATTAAGTACCAGCTGGGGAAAAACCCTGTATGACACCTCATACAAAAATATATTGCAGATAGCATTCACACTAAAATGTGAAAAGTTAAAGATATAAAGATATTAGAAGAAAATTTAGAAGGTTGTGCACATAAACTAGTGATTGAGATTTTCATGACCAATATGGAAGATATAAAAGCTTTAAAAAGAATATATCAGAAAGTTATAGAGTGTTAACAGAAAACATCCTGGCAGGTAATCTAGGGGACATTTGAAAGAGTCACATGCTGCAAGATAGAGTCCACACCCAAAGTAATCTATAGAGAAAACAAATCCAAATATTAGTGATATAATTGCTAATCAAGGAGGTGATTGTCACCCATCATGAAGAACTTTTCTTTGCTGTGTCTATAAGTAAGCTTGTTATCTATTCTTCAAAGTCCATTCTTAATTGGACATTTATAGATTAGAATGTTTTTCACTTTGTGGTTGTTTCAATTCTAGCACCCTGATGTCTATAAGAATGCTATTAGAATAGAAGAGATACATTGGACAAGATTTGGTGGCTAAGCCACACTTAATTATTCCTACATATATACTACTATATAATACACATAGAGAGACAGACAGACAGACAGACAGACAGACACACACACACACAGACACACACACTGACTACCCACCCCCACCCTGAAAACTAGATTAGTATTTGGCACAATTGTTATTTTTTGTTTGTTTTTTAAGAGAGATCTCACTGTGTTGCCCAGGCTGTTTTCAAGCCCATAGGTTCAAGTGGTCCTTCCTCCCACCTCAGACTCCATAGTAGCAGGGGGTATAAGCGCTACTGCCACACCAAGCTGAACTGATTTTTCAAGAAACTGTAATTGTTTCTAAAACTCTCCTTTCAGTTACAGTGGGGCAGGGTGGAGTTTGTGTGGAGATCAGAGGACAGCATTTTGGGTTTGGTTTCCATCATGCAGGTCCAGGGACTGACTCGGGTCATCAGCTCGGCAGCAACACCTTCACTAGCTGAGTCATTTACTCGTCCAAACTAGTAGTGGTTATCTAGATGCAAACCACCATGCTCAGTACCAGGGTTCATTGCTGCTTTCTGCCAGGTACTGACTGCTATATTTTACTTGTGATGTTTCTAGAACTTGCTCCTTCTTTGTCATCAGACAGCAATTAACGTAAAGCAGTACAAATCATAGAGTCATATGGAAAGTAACTATAATTTGATGGTAGTTAAAGTAATCTTATGTTATACATATCTCTATTCTTATTCTGTACCAAAATATTGAGGCAAAGAAATTACTTTTACAATAACGCAACCATAGAAGAGCAAATATTTTGTGTTCCTTTTATATAAATTCTTATCATTTAATATGCTTTATTACAATCTTGTCTCCCACTCCATCACGTTTGTTTAAGGGAATTTTGTGGGTGCAGTCACCTTTGTTATCTTTGTTTGGTGTTTGGTTAAATAACTGTGCATTTTACATTGTGGCTCTATTGTATTTGATTAATAATTGTGTATTGTAACACATGTATGTGCTCTGTTGTCTACTATTATAAGTAATACTCTTCTAAAAGTAATTTATACATATTTTATGGATCTTTTTAAATTATTTTCTTAAAATCTTGACCCCTAAAGAAAAAAAAAGTGGGCTGGAGAGGCTGGAGATACAGCTCAGTGGCAGGGTACAGGGTTGGCATGTGCACAGTTGCATGGGTCCAATCCAGGTTCAAAAAAAACAAGAGGAAAAAAAGAAAACACAATTGCTAAATTTAAGTTTTTTTCTTTTCTTTTCTTTTCTTTTTTTTTTTTTTTTTTTTTTTTTGGTTTTGGTTTTTTGAGACAGGGTTTCTCTGTATTGTTTTAGAGGCTGTCCTGGAACTTGCTCTGTAGACCAGGCTGGCCTCGAACTCACAGAGATCCGCCTGCCTCTGCCTCCCGAGTGCTGGGATTAAAGGCGTGCACCACCACCACTTGGCAACTTTTTAAATTCTTAACTTAGTTATCTCAAATTTAAATTGGCTTGTAGCATAAAGCGACTCAAGACAACTCTCCTTCGTGTTGTTAAATAGTGTTTAACTGTTAAGTAATGTTTTAAATGAGCTAGCATGGTAATTTATGCCTACAATCCCAGAAATCTGGGAAGCTGAGGCATAAGGATTGCTGTAAGTTTGGGGTTAGCCTGGGCTGTACAGCAAGACACCATCTCAAAAAAGAAAGTATTCTGTTTTTTACAAATTAGGTTTCCTACTCTTGGTTATCACGTGCTCTTTTTAGCTATAAAAAGTTATGATGCTGTTTCTCAGATTATACTATTTTGCTAATCACATTTGTTTTATTTTATTACATCCTAATTGCTGGTTTTTCCATAATGCATTCTTGTATTTGTTGGTAAAGTAGACATAATCTTTTGCTAAATATTTTGAATTAATTGGGGAATACAAATTATAAATGTAGACTATGTGACCAGTATCTAGTCTTATTATTTTTCTTTCATTTTTATCTAGGTACTTCAGACACAACTACCTGGGAATATCCAGATGTCTGCAAACATTATTTTGGCTCCTTTGGGCAGTGGTCGAGTCTCCTTTTCTCCTTGGTGTCTCTTATTGGAGCAATGATAGTTTATTGGGTTCTTATGTCTAATTTTCTTTTCAATACTGGAAAGTTTATTTTTAGTAAGTATTGATATAGTCTTTAACCAAGTTACCCCCAAATATCATTGTAATATTCTAGTTCTAACCTTATATTTTTATATGTAAAGTATTATATAATCCTGGGTAATATGCTTGATTCAGCTTTTCTATGCTTAGTATCTCAAATATCATGATTGTAAACATTATTTTTACATAAATACTGTGTCATTCTGACATTTTAAAAATGTATTTCAATCATATTCACTTCCTGTTATGCTATCTTGTTCCCTCCACTCCCTTTAGCTCCCTTCCTCTTCCCAACTTTCTCCCTTCTACTTTCATGTCTTTGTTTTGGTCACCCAGTGAGTTTCATTAAGGCTGCTTACACGAACGTGGGTGAAAGTTTGTTTACTGAAGCAAACACACTTTAGCATTGTCTGCACCACTGATAAAATGTCTCTCCCTCCCTATCGGTGGTTACCTGCATATATATTCTCTTGAAGGGGTGGGCTCCAAGAGCCCTTCCTCCTTCCGTGAAAGTGTATCCACAAGCCCAGTCTTACGAAGATACCACAACTGCTGGGAGTTCAAGAATGGAAAAACATGTCACCCCCAGAAGTCAGGGTGCCATCAGCCCCTGAACCCCTCTGGCTCCTGAGGGGTTTTTTGGTTCCTCTTCCAGAATGTTCCCTGAGCCGTGGAGAGGGTGTTATAGTTGTCCTACTCATGACTGGGCATTCAACAGTCATTTATTCTCAGGACTTTGGCCAGTTTTGAGTCTCCGCAGTTACCACTGACCACTGCAAAATGAAGCATCTCTGGCCAAGCTGACAGCCGTGCCATGTTATGGGCATAAACAGAGTTATGCAGAAGGCAGTTTCACAGGCACATCATGTCCACTTAGCAAAAAGCAGCAGTAACTCCCACACCAGGGTGTATGACCTCCCCAACTGCATTAACTTTAAGAAGCAGTATTCCTTCTGAATCTCTAATTAGTATAAAGTATTTCTATAACATTTTAGTACTGAAACAGAGAAGTTTATGAAATTCACTGGCATTTGTTACTGAAGAATCTGATATTTGAACAATCAATGAACCTGCTCAGTTCAGCTCTAGAATTCTGAAGAGGGCATTATCAACCCAATCCAAGCACTTTTTATAATACTTTTAACTTGGATGGAGGATGTTCATTTTAAGGGTTTTTTTTGGACATTTATTTGTATTGTGTGTGAGTATGTACATGTATGTATGTTGGTGGATGTACACATGCCAGGGCACACATGTGGCATCAGAGAACTTATAGGAGTGTGTTCTCTCCTTCCACCACTTGTGTTTTGGGGATCAAATTCTGATTATATACTAACCACGTATCTTCCATCATGCTGTAAACATCTTAATAGAATGTATTCACTTTTATGTGGTGGTTCTTTCAGGATTTTGCTTTATTTTTTTAAACCTTTAAATTAGTCATTTGTAGTTTTTTGTTTTTGTTTTGCATCAAGGTCCATAAGTCTTTTATATACATTTTAGAATCAACCAACTTTCAAATTCTAGAACAATATAATTAGGTTTTGATTGAAGTTGCATTGAATATTCAATCAACATACCATAATCAGTATTATTAGGCTGTTGATTTAGGGTTAATGAGAATTGCATTACATTTATTCATGTGGAAAGAAGTTGTGCTAGAATACTGAGTTTTCCTATTCATGATCATAGCGTAGTTTAAGTTCCTGTTTAATGTCTCTTATGTTTTCCTTGGTAAAAGTCTTGTATACTTTAGAAACACTTTCTGATTGATACCTTACTTTTTGTTATTAAAAAGCAAGCGTTAAACAGAAAATTATATGGAACCACATGTTGGGCCATGGTGGCGCACACCTTTAATCCCAGCACTGGGGGGAGGGGTGGGCAGAGGTAGGCAGATCTCTGTTTTAGACCAACCTGGTCTACAGAGTGAGTTCCAGGTCAGCCAGGGCTACACAGTGAAACCCTGTCTCAAAAAAACCAACAGACAAAAACCCACTGAGGAAAAGGAATCCACGTTCCTCTCACTTAGCCTAAACACTTGTCAACATTAGTCTGTTCTAGAATGGTCTACAGTAGGGATTTTTTTTAACTCCCTCACTTTTAAAAAAATATTGCCCCTTGAGAACACTTTTTAGACATCTTATTCTAATTGTCCCTCCAATGAAATTTTAGTATCAGATATTTTATAAAGTGTGTATTTATCTGTACATTATGTTTTTAAAAAGAAAGTATTTTTCCTCTTCTCAGGAATGAATAACCATGTTTATAAACAAAAGACTTTAACTGATGATGGGATTTGGCATGATTCATTCATGATTAACTGTATGATTGTCTTTAACTTATAGATTTTATTCATCACATTAATGACACAGACACTGTACTGAGAACCAATAATAGCAACCCTGGTAAGTAGTTTGGAATTCAGTTGGTTTCCTTGTCACCAATCCTGCTACCAAAACAGTTTAAAAATGGAATGCATGACCCCAATTTAGGTAAATTGTTGGGAAAAATGTTCTTCTATTACTGGGCTGCTGTACAATTATTGGCGGTATGTTTCAGAATAGATTTATTTATTAGAAATAGGTGTTTGAGTGTGATTTGGTAGTAGTGCACCTGCATGGCACATGAAGAACTGGGACTGAGCCTTGGCATCATGAAAGAATAAAGATTAAAAAGAACATGGAAATAAGCCTGATGAGATATCCCAGAGGGTAACAGGCTGACGACCTAAGCTTGACCCTTCGGACCCACAGGGCTGAAGAAGGAACTGCTCCTTCAAGTTGCCCTCTGACTTCCACACACTGTGACATGTAAATGCGCAACAGAAAGTTATAAATAAATAAATGCTGAGAGAGAAGAAAGGAAGCAAAGAGAAAGAGAAGAAAAATGCATTCTCCAGACTTCCCAGTTCTCAAGGTGTCATCTAGATTCTTAGGCTGCTGTAAGTGGGGTAAACTCCAGAGTCATTTTGGATTGTTAAACTCCAAATTCTTCAGTTTTTCACTAGTGACCTGGATTTCTGCTTTTAATTCCCTAACACATACATTTTATGGTTATTAAAGAAAGAAAAAGGGAGTCAGTAAAATGGCTCAATAAGTAAAGGTATTTCTCCACTAAGCCGATGACCTGAGTTCAGTCCCAACACCTACACGGTAGAAGGAGAGAATGGACTGTGCCAAGTTGTCCTCTCACATTGCACATGTGCTGTGATGAACATGCACACACATAAATAATAAATCTAGTCAATTTTTTTAGAGAAAAGGGCCTCTTATTTAGCCCTTGTATACGAACAATTACTCTACATGCTACATCTCATACTATAAAGATTCCCTTACCTTTTACTAATTGTATTTAGATGAAAGATTCCTAAATCACCTCTATAACCCTTTTGTAGAAGTTCATGCTAACCCTAAGCAGGCGCCAATCCTGGGCACACTGATTCCCCAGCTTGTTTGGTCTAACCTCTGACATGTCCTTTACTTTTGCAGTGATTTGTCCAAGCGCTGGCAGTGGTGGCCATCCTGACAACAGCTCTGTGATTTTCTACAATGACACAGAAGTCCAGCAGTTTGAAAAGTGGTGGAATAAGTCCAAGACAGTGCCCTTCTACCTTATAGGGCTCCTCTTGCCGCTGCTCAACTTCAAATCTCCTTCGTTTTTTTCCAAGTTTAATATCCTAGGTAAGGTACTGCTTTGTGGGACTTCAGAAGTTTGAGTGGGGAGACAGTTACCTTCCTGGCTGTTCAGGTCTACTTAATTTGTTCATTCATACAATACATTAATTTTGTTGCTTTTTGTTTTCCTATAAAGTTTGACACAGAAAAATGGACACAACCATTTCAGGTTCCTCTTGCCTTTTGGGAGTTGGCTTTCTTGATATGAATCACCAGGTTTCCCATTCCAACCTTCTTGAACAATTCATTTCCTGTCAGAGTACAGCTAGAGGAAATAGACCCTATTTAAGTTGACAAAAAGACCTTCTGTGAAAGCTCAGATCTGGTTAACTAAAGGAAATCTGGAGGCACCACTTACAAAGACTTGTTAGACTCAGTCCGTAGGATTTTACCTCCCTTCCAAAGCTTTCCCAGTGGGCAGCTGTGGTGGACTATAATCAGATTCTCCACCATAGCAAGGAAATAGGAGGAACAAACCAAAATGTAGCCCGGGTTCCCAGGAGATGAAAGGAAGGGGTAAAGATGGTCTCTCTGACTGTCTCCCTCAGTGCAGGATGCTTTAAGCCAGCATGAGCACAGGGAGAAAATGAGCTGTTCCATAATCTCGGCCTCCTGTCTTCATCTTTCTGAATCAGCTAATCTCTAAACCCACAGTCCAGCTTATAGAGCTCCTTGTGGTTTCCCAACTCGCTGCTGACTTGCCAGTGGAACAAGTCTTTCACAAGCATATGAATTTACAGAGGGTTTGTTCAGGGAGACACCATGATCCTCAGGCTTCCAACCAGACTTCAAGACATTCCAACTATAACTTCCTCACAGCAGTGGCACCTAAGGGCATTCAGAATCAGGTCTGATTGGCCTCTGTAATGAATGACCTGGAGTTGGAGATACGACTCACTGAGGGGGCACCTGCACAGTTGTATATCAAGGCTCTGAGTTTGATTCCCAATGCTACAGGAAACATTTGTTAATTAAAAATAACACTGCTCTAATTTCCACACTACTAAAAAGTCTGTGTGGCAGAGCTCGCATAGCTGTTTGGTCACCTTTGTCAAATGTTAGCTACTTTTCTCTCTTTACTTTCTTGTCATTTCAAATTAGCTTACAGGCTTTTCCAGTGTGATGAGTGTCTCCCAGCACTTAAAACATGGTTTCATGGTTTGTGTGTTTGCTTTTTCTCTTGTATAACTGATAATTTTGTGATGGAGTCTGCTTGTTGCTTACACTGAATTCCTAAGTTAATTAAACAGTTCCCATTCAGTAAGCACTAGTGAGGTTGCTTGATCTTAGTCTCTTTAGGCTTACTATCCCATTTTTTGTTTCATTTTTTGATAACTCACAAGTGTAATTTTTATTCTTTAGAATCTAGCTTTTTTAAAGAAGATAATTTCTCCAGTCCTGATTTTTAAAGTAATCCATAAGATATGCAAAGATGATAAGTGGTTTCTGGGTTGTCTGTCCCTTACAGGTACAGTGTCGGTCCTCTATTTGATTTTCATTGTTACCTTGAAAGCTATTCGCTTAGGATTCCATCTGGAATTTCACTGGTTTGTGCCAACAGAATTTTTTGTACCAGGTGAGTTTGTCAAAATAAGAGATAACTAACTAGCAATAACGTATCTTTAAGTTAACTACTGTGAAATGTTAATCTAAGACAGGTAATACATGGTTAATGTGATAGCTCTCGCCTGCCAGTCCCAGCAATTGTGAGGCTGAAACAGAGGACTGCCGTGAGTTCTAAGCCAGCCTGGGCCATAGAGTGAGATGCTGCCTCATAAAAACAAAATTAAAACAAAACAAAACAGGACTATAGCCGGTATTTCTGGCAAGTAGAATAACCAGGGCTCTATCATTTTCGGCTTGACACTTGATTATTGGCATTAATTTTATAGTACACTTGAAAAATCAAAATCTTCTCTAGGCTTTCTAAGGAAAATGTTCTTAGAATGTCAGAAACTTAGAACATTGTTATGCATGTTGATAAAACTGCTCATTAAAATGATTGTTCCTGACTGGGCATGGTGGCTCATGCTTTCAACCCAGTATTTAGGAAGCAGAGGCAGGTAGGATTGCTGTGAGTTCAAGGCCAGACCCTGTCTCCAAAACAAAAGAAGGAAAGGAAGGAAGGAAAATCATGGTTCCCCTTATGGATTTTTCTGGAATTTTATTGTTTTTCAGGTTAAGATTATGATTTTTAAATAGATTTTTGCACCTGTCTCATTTCTCCTCTTGATTACAATGGGGCAATTTAGTTTCACCCAGGCTTAAAATATATAGGACATTTTTTAAAAACACCAATAAAACAATGAAGAAATGAATGAATTATACTAAATAAAAAGAGATTAAAAAGTGACTATTACCATATTGCCCTCCAAAATCTGGGACATACATGTTTCCTGAACTCCATGCTACAAAGTTTGAGCAGCACAAGGCCCTTTCGAAGTGACTTCTAGCAATAAATGCCTGGTAGAGGCCCAGTCCAGGAGCTCACAGAAGCCGTTGCAGATGTAGGTGCCCTCTGGCACCCTGACTCATATGAAGCTGTAAGTCCTACTCCATTCGGGCTGCCTTCCACAAATACGTTGCCTCCTTCTCTAGATACATACAGCCAACGGGATGCCCAAGAGTATCTGAAGCTCCAGTTCCCTGCCACCTCTCTGGCGAGAGGCTCTGTGTGAAGAACCGGTATTAAAAGATGATGACCGAGCCAACTTAATGTGGAAACAGTACCTGGAGCGAGAAGACAGCAAGATTGTGTGGGCTTATTTGTGGAACAATTGAAAATTTGCCTTCAGTGCCAGGCCTGTGGGTATCGCTCCACAACCTTCGAGGTTTTTTTGTGACCTGTCTCTGCCCATCCCCAAGAAAGGATTTGCTGGAAGCAAAGTGTCTGTGAGGGAGTTTCAGCCTTTTCACCAAGGAAGAACAGAGTCTGAAAATGCCCCAGTGTGTGAGCAATGCCGACAGAAAACACGAAATACCAAAGAGTTAACAGTACAAAGTTCCCCCCAGGAGGGAAAAAGTGACTGTTACAAACTAATCATAAGAAAATAATACTCAATTCTATTATTGGTTTAGAAAGACTTCTTTCTTTCCAGTCTTCAGTCATCAAGCAGTCTAGAATCTCGGTTCAAGTATCAGGCCTTTATCTCCCTATTTCTTTGCTATAACCTTCCTAGGTTTTCAAGCTGTATAGAGTAGGTAGTCACTGAAAATTGTTGATTATGTTACCATGGCTACTTGTTTTAGACCATTTGACTTTACTGATTTTCCAAAATACTGAGCCTTGAAAGGGCATGGTGGTGCACACCTCTAATCCCAGCACTAGGGAAGCTGAGGCAACTGGATGTCAGAACAGCCAGATGTGAGAGACCCTGTCTCAAAGAAAGATTGAAAAAAAAGAAAAAGCACTGATGTTTCCATCAGTATGGCAGTATTGAGTTTTCCCACTAATTGTCTAAAATAGTCCAGCATATTGTTTTTAATGTTACATCTATTGTGTTAGTAAACTGAAAATAGATACCCAGTGTGACTACAGAGATGGCCTAGCAATTACAAATATTTGTTGCCCTTGCAAGGGGCTAAGATTTGTTTTTGAGCACCTGCGTGGAGTCAACACCCCCACCTGTAACTCCAGCTTCAAGGGATCAGTATTCTCTGGTACCTGTGCTCAAATGCACATACTCACACACAGGCACAATTACACATAATCAAGCATAAAATAAATATATTTTTTAAAGTGCATAACCAGGATGGATAAATAGTTATCTGGGAAACAGAAAAGAAGTTCTTAAGTAGATGGTAAGTCATTCATTTTCCACTATCCAGTATTATATGGTATGAAGGGGAAATAACGAAGATTAAACAAGGTGTAGTTTCCATTAGGATGCTTAAAGACTGAAGAATGAGATGTGTCCTAAGTGTTTTCTGAGAGGCCAATTAAAAATCAAGAGAACAGTGGAGAGGAAAAACCTTTACCGTCCTCATGAAAAGTGCCATCATTTTACAATTCTAAAGATATTTATGTATTCATGTTTCTTTTACAATTACTTATTACATTTATTTATTTGTGCACATACCATAGCCCGTGTGTGGAGGATATCACAGGACAGCTTGTGAAAGTCAAGGGTTCTCTCCTTCAACCTGTGGGTTATTGGGTTTCTATTGCTTTTTGTTTATTGGGTTGCTATTATTGCAACGAAACACCATGACCAAAAAAGCAAGTTGGGAAGGAAAGGATTCATTTAGCTTACACTTCCACATTGCTGTCCATCACCAAAGGGAGTCAGGACAGGAACTCAAGCAGAGCAGGAACCTGGAGGCAGGAGCAGGTGCAGAGGCCATGGAGGAACACTGCTTACTGGCTTGCTTCCCCTGGCTTGCTCAGCCTGCTTTCTTATAGAACCTAGGTGTCAGCCCAGGGATGGCAGCACCCACCACGGACTGGGCCCTCCCCCATCAACAATCACTAAGAAAATGTCTTACAGCTGGATCTTTTGGAGACATTTTCTCAACTGAGGCTCCTTCCTCTCTGATGACTCTAACTTGCATCAAGTTGATGTAAAACTAGCCGGTACGCTGGGTACGGAACTTAGGTTGTCAGGTTTAGCAACAAGAGTCTTTACTTGATGAGCATCTCTCTTGATCATTATTCTTATTTCTAAACTTTTACCTTTTAGTATGTCTATCATCGACTTTGCTCTCAGGTAGTAGTTGGGGATAAAAGGTTAAATCTCTACTTAAGCATTTACTCTACTTTCCTACTAACTCAAAGACCTTTCTCCACTAAGTAATGCCATGCAACCAACTGGCTTTATGTATTGTCTGTATGGTAACCAGTCCTAATTTTATACTTCCAGCCCAGATCCCCTATGAAGTTCTTTCTCATGTGTCCAACTCACACCTTCTCTCTCTTTACTTCGATGTTTATGGATGTATCAAGCTCAAATTGGCAAAGACCAAATGTTTGCTTGTTTGTTTGTTTGTTTGTTTCAGTGTCCATCCCTATCCATCAACATGCATGACTTGCTCTTCTGTGGCCTCCCCCCACCTTAAAACAGAAGCTGTTTTCCAGTTGTTCTGATCAACACTGTATAGTCTGACCATTTTCCATCCACACCCAACCCATCCACAGAGTGTGTCTGTTTTATCTTTTAAAACAGTTAAGAATATAACTTCTTACCATCTCCACCAAAAAAAACTATGTCAAGCTATTAATCTTTTGTCTGGATTATTGTAGTGCTAATTAATTTTGTCTGTCTCCTCCACCCTATGCTATTCTACACCCAGCAGCTAGAGTTACATTTGCAAAACAACCCAAGCTAATATGGTAGTGCATATTTGTGATGCCAGCCCTGAAAGAATCTGTAGTTTAAGGCCAGCCTGAACTACTTAGTAAGACCTGTCTTAATGAAAAACAACAAAAACCAAACCAGAACCCACAGAACTCTTTAATGATTTCCCATCTCACTAAGAATGACAGGTCTTAGAAAAAATAAAAGAATAGTAGGTAGTGCTTGGATCTGATCTGACCTGACTCTGTTCTTTCTGACTTAATCCCCACCACTTTCCCTCTTACTCACTGATTGCAACCGCACTGGCTTCCTTGCTGTTGTCATTCATTGTTCCCTGTATATGAGATTCCCTGTTCTCTCAGATGCTCAGATGGTCCTTGTTGTTATGCAAGGTCTTCTCTAACTACCTACCCTCGCCCAGGCTTCTTGGAACTTTTCCTTAAAACTCTTATCAGTACTAACCTTATAGCAAGCACCTGTGATATCTGTTACTAATTCCTGATTCTAGTGAGTTGGAGTCTTGGAGGCCCCAAATTATTCTAATCCATTTGGCTCCCAAGCTTCACAAAATAGCAAAAGTTACAGTAAAGGGAGATTTATCCAGAAATATTTCTAAATGTTTTGGTTTCTTGAATTCAGATACCAACAATTAATTTCCTATTTATGTATCTATCTCGTTTAACTGTAACATTACTCTCTAAGAAAAGTAGTATTATTTATATTCTTTAAACTTCTGTATTACTTTTGTATCCCCAGATCCTATGATACTTGTTGGCACATAGTGAATGCTAATAAGAAATAAGTGTTGAGGGTCAATGAGATAGCTCAACAGGTAAAGGCACCTGCTGCCAAGCCTGAGGACCTGAGTGTGATCCCTCACACCTACACTGTACGAGGAGAGAACTAGCTCCCTCAAATTGTCTTCTGACCACCACAGCCATACTGTCACGCACACACACACACACACACACACACACACACACACCACACACACAGTATAATAAAGATGTAAAGACATATTTATTGAATAAGTAAATGTGTTTATTTTACTTCCTCCTAAATCCCATGAAAATAAGGGTGAAGAGAGACATGATGAAGGTGAACTAGAAAACAGTAGGGACAGGCCAAGTGGGAAGCCAGAGCAAATTGCCAGAGGTAGACAGATGTCCTCGGTGCCATTTTTCAAAGAAAAAGTGCAAAGATTGGTGTGTCGTAAAGATTGAGAGGGGAGAGTTTATAATTGTTGAATAAAGTTTGAGGAGGAATTAGCATGAACTAGATAATTAAAGGACTAAAAAAAGAACGTGTTATTTATTCCCTTCAGAAAAGTAGGTCAAAGAAAAGAGTTTTTATGTAAAAGGAAACTAATCATAATACATTCCATGGCTTATTATGAATTCAGTCATAATCACAAAAATAAGAACTTGATTTTTCAAATCCAAATTAAAAATAGGGTTATTTAGCACTTCCCATCCCCATGTTGGCGATAAGCAGGCACCAACCACCACAGCTAGTTTATGCAGTGCTGAGAACCAAATCCAGTTCCCTCTCCATGCTTGCCATGCACTTCAGTGACTGAGCACATCCCCAGTATTGTTTAACTTTTAACAGTTTTTGTTTGTTTGGGTTCCCCCCAGGGGACGGTGGGTAAGGGGCAAAGTTTCATGTAGCTTAGGCTGGCCTAATGTACTGTGCAACTAAAGATAGTCTTCAATTCTTGCTTTTCCTGCATTTACCTACACAGTGCTAAGAATACAGGTATGTGTCACCATGCCAGGCTAAGTTTTGTCTTTTTTAAAGATTTATTTATGTAGATAGTGTTCTGCCTCCCTGTATCCCTGCAGGCTAGATCTCATTATAGATGGTTGCTGGGAGGGAATTGAACTCAGGACCTCTGGAAGACCAGCCAGTGCTTTTGACCTCCAGCCCCTACCAGATTAACTTTAATACTGCAATTAAGATGGCATTTCTGAGCTAGGTAAAATCACTCACACCTGTTAATCCTAGCACTCAGGAAGCTGAGTCAGAGGCATTGTCACAAGTTAGAGGTCAGCCTGTGCTACAAAGTGAGATTGTCTTTCTTAGGGTTTCTTTTGCTGTGAAGAGACACTGTGACCATGGCATCATATCAGGTGTCATAGCTTGAGCATGGGAGACCTCAAAGATTACCCCCACAGTGACACACTTCCTCTAACAAGGCCATACTGACTCCAACAAAGACACATGTCCTAATAGTGCCACTCCCTTTGAGGTCATTTTCTTTGAAACCACCACAAAGACCTATCTCAAAAAAAGAAAAAGAAAAAAGCCTTCACAATTCTTTGAAACTGACATCAAAGAGACTTTAGATACTAGTTTACTGTGTGCATGTACTTGTATGTGTGCCACACAAAGGCCAGGGATATTCTTGAAGTATAATGCTAATCATGAGATTGGATGTTATATCCTTTGAAAAGGCATATTAGGCATATTTCGTGTGTGTGTGTGTGTGTGTGTGTGTTTATAAAGTCATTATTCATAATTTCCAAAAGTAGAAGCAACACAATGTCTGTCCCTGGTGAGTATCTAAAGTATGATGTATCAGTACAATGGGATATTAACAACCCTGAAAAATGTCAGGTTTTTAAATTTTTGTTCAAAAATTATTTGTGTCAATCAATTTCAAAAGCCTTAATTTGAAAAGGCAAATTCATCAGCTGTTATAGAAAAGTTGATTGCTTTGAGATGGAAAAGATCAATCAAAGAGAAAATCAATAATCTCAACTCCAGAAACAATTTTAAGGAGAATTTTGTTCACATCCATGACTGAGAGTCAGTTCTGACAATAATGTTCCTGCTACATGCCACACAGCGTTTTGTAAAACAGTACCCACTGCCCTCCAAGAGATACCAGTTAAGCAGTAAAACAATTGGTAAATAATAATCATAGAATGAAGAGGCACACCAGGGACACTGGAGTACAGAGGACTGCAATCAAGAGGGGGCAGAGAAATGATCTCAGAGAAACCTATTAAGGGCCAAAGGGAGATCACTAAATAGAAACTGGAGGATTCTGAGAGGTATGCCATGTACAGTTAAGGCCTGAAGTAGCATGACTCATTTAGGAAATTATGAGAATTTGAATGGCTCAATTGAAAGAATGCTTGTTGAGAAAATGGTAGGAAGTACTAAACAGCAAGAACGAGACTAAAAAGCCTTCTCTTTTAAGCTAAATATAACTCGAAAGGCCAGTTATGACTCTCTCCTCCCCCTCCCACACTTGAAAGATAGGCTTTTGTCCTCAGAAGACCAGTAGAGAGAAGGAAGAATAGTCCTATAGTTCCGTGCTTGAAAATAGAATTTGGAGTGAAGCTGACATGATGAAATGCTACCCAGCACAGGATAAGGTCAGGGGTGCCTTCCCCTCCATTAGGCACTCTCAGTCAACAGTGAAACACTCAAAATCTTTGGGTTACCTAGTATGCAAGAGACCTCGGACTTGATCCTCAGCTCTGTGTAAAACTGAATATGGTGGCTCACACCTCTAATCCCAGAGAGGCAGATATAGGAATATCCTGAAGTTCAAGGTCATTCTCAAGCACTTAGTGGATTTGAGGTCAGCCTGGGCTACATAGATCCCATCTCAAAACAAAAATGAGCCTTAGGATCTAGCATAAACACAGCACAGATGATAACTGAAAACTTCATAGTAAATGATCCAGGGCTCAAACCCCTTAAATCTCAGTTTCTCGGACACTTCCAACACCAACTGGATCCGTTTAAGTAAGCAAGTACCAAAATCAGGTTAGAAAAGCAAGAAATGTGTAAGTGCAGCGCTTCTGCAAAATTAAAGGGATTAGGAGCAGGACTAAGCCTAGTTGAGATATGTAGGAGGGAAGAGAAGAAAAGGAAATGTATTGGACAGAAGTAAACTCAGAAAGTCCTGGCCAGCCACTATGACCCTCAATGCCTCTAGAATAGTCTATATTTACACAAATGTGCCCAAACCCTGATACCCTGCAAGCTCAGGATTGGCTAGTAGCTGTCCAGTGGGAAAATGACTAGTGCAGGATCAGGGCAGCAGACACCAGAGGGCTGCAGCCCATAACCATCAGCTAACAACCCCCTTGCTTAGGTTCTCACTTAAAACGAGATCTAGTGCTGTAATTCCACAGTAATGTATCAGAGTGCTTTAATGTATGGCATGTAAAAATTAAAGTACTCATAGGCTACATTGTCTGTTTTGCTGATTTGCTTTCTTAGAGCTTCTCGCCATTTACTATATAAGAAATATATTTATGTGGCAGGGCACTTTTTGAGACAGGATAACCTTTAGCCCAGGCTAATCTGAAATTTACTGAATAGCCCAGACTGGCCAGAGACTCAGCCTGCTAAGTGCTAAGATTATAGACAAGAACCACTATGATTGGTGATTTCCTTTCCTTCTTTTCTTTTCTTTTTCCTGCTTAGCTGCCTTACTTTGGATTCCAGCTAAAGAGTCTGTCAGTTATTTCTCTGTTAAAAATATCAGCAAGTAAATTCATCTGCACATGATTTTGTCATCATTTTCAAAAATAGTGCTTTTGTCATCATGCACTTGTAATGTTGTTGCTAACTAGAAGTGATCTCAGTTTATTAAGAGGTGTTTCAGAAAGATTATTAGAAAAAGATTTTTTAAACTAACAAAGGAAGAATTTGCCTATACAGTGAATTGCATTTACAGATAAAAAATATAGATGAAAACTGACAGACAGGAAATAGGATAGCAAACAGAATAAGCCAGGCATGGTGATTCATGTCTGCAACCTGAGTGTTGAACTCAAGAGGCTGAGACAGTGAGAAAAAGCAAACAAAAAGAAAAGAAACGAAACAATAGACTACACATTTTCTGCAATCCTGCTCTTTACAGCAAGCTGCCCCTGACATTGTTCTCTGCTTTACCACATGCTTTGCCTAGAACCTACCAATATTGCCAAGTAAAGTGTAGTCTGATTCCACATTAGCTAATTTTTTCACCTATCACCTGCCTACAGTGGTTATAGAATATGATTTTTAAATAATTTCTTATTATAGAAAATTAAGTGGTTAATTTAAAATAAATTCTGTCAACTAACCACTGTGATTCTGTCAACATCTTTCTTTCTTGAGTACATAATCTACAGTTGCTTATGTGTATTTTAAAAAACAAAAGCGAATCACACTTGGCATGCTGCTGGACTCAAACATTTGTCCTGGTATTAAATTTCAACAGCATAAATTTTAAGTACTGTACCCCACTGAGAACTGTATCTCAGTCTAACCGGTAATATTTTTACACAATGCATTTTAGATTTGTCACCCAAGAAGCTTTAGTAACCACTTCTCCATCTGTGATTCCTTTTCTAGAGGAACTTCCCAGACAAACTCAGGTATTGGAGGAATAGAAGATTTTAGTCCTAGACAGACCCTGAATTTAAATCCCATTGTGGGATCTTAGCAAGGGATAACTGAGAAAGTCACAGAATACACCCTATTTCTTCTTCTTTCTCTTTTAAGTACTTTGACCAAGTGTAATGTTCACCTTGAGGGATTTTGTAAACACTTGAATGTTTTTATTCCCTGGAGAAATGATGATGATGATGATGATGATGATGATGATGATGATGATGATAAAAAGGGGATTGTTTTTAATAGGTGCTTGATACTCATTTTCTACTTGTCATTTTAACATTTTTGTTTTTGTCTCTTTTTCTCCTAGAGATAAGATTTGAGTTTCCACAGCTGACTGGAGTGCTTACTCTTGCTTTCTTTATTCACAATTGTATTATCACACTCTTGAAAAACAACAAGAACCAAGAAAATAATGTGAGTTGTCCACTGAGAAACTGACCTTGATATTTCCTAAGGATTAACTTTAATCAATGTTTGATACACTTTATATTTAGAGTAAAATTATGCAATTTGTTTCTTCATCTTAATTTTTAAGCTTAAATTATAGATCAGTGGTCAAACATATGAAACTTTTGGATGGTAACTATTTTAGGCTTTGCCAGCAGTTGTGGAATGAAAATAGCAACAGACAATAGATAAACAATAAAGCTTCATTTACAGAAACAGTGGGTCAGATTTGATCCATAGACCAGAGTTTGCCAGACTGCTATAAAGAATCTACTTAAAAAGTAAAGAGGTATAGCTAATAACACTCCAATAATAATAAAAATGAAGATATTAAAGGAGACAAGAAAAGAAGAACAAAAAATAAATGTGAAAAAGAAACTAAGTAGCAAGATGGGAGATTTAAACCCAGTTACGTTGATGATTACACTAAATATAAATGATCGAAGCATGACAATGGAGAACTGTCAGATTTGTTAAAATAAAATAAAATTAATCCCAGCACTCGGGAGGCAGAGGCAGGCGGATCTCTGTGAGTTTGAGGCCCGGCTGGACTGACAGCCTCCGAAACAATACAGAGAAACCCTGTCTAATAAAACCAAAAATAAATAAATAAATAAATAAAATGAATTATATGTTATCCTTAAGAAACTTTAAATATAAAGCTATAGCTTTGCATACTATAACAAATTAGCTCACCTGTGTTACTAGCAGCACAAATGATAATGTCAGAACCAAAGAGGAGTGATTATATTGTGATCCTTATGGACTGACTCACTTGGAAATGCCATGACAACATATATAAAATCTACATTTGAGTAAATACCTAATAGGAATAAGTGCATATTGTGTTTGAATTAGATTTGGCCATTTACTACAATTATAAAAATATTAGTTAACAGTAGTTATTCTTAGTTACTTATAATGTAATATTACAAATAAAGTACTGTCTAGTTGATACTATGAGATCATAATGTTCTTCATTTGTGCTCTTTTTTTTACTTTCCATCTTACGTCTGTTAGTTTTCATAAGCTTATTTGTGAATGAGTCTATAAGCAAGTCATCATGCATTGCAAAGGAAGTGCTTGTGTTCTCTGTTTGCTTTGCTTTAATGTCAAGTTATACAGAAATTATTCATTGAAATACAATTGTTCTCTCTTGAAGAAAGAAAGGAAGGAAGAGAAAGAGAGAAAGAAAGGAAGAGAAAGAAAGAAAAGGAAGGAAGGAAGGAAGGAAGGAAGGAAGGAAGGAAGGAAGGAAGGAAGGAAGGAAGGAAGGAAGACAGAGAGAGAATATAATAATCCAGAGCCTATATTGCCCCAGTGATAGAACTTTAAAAGTCATGAAGTGGGCCTACAGAACAGCACAGTGGGTAAAGGCGCTTGCTGCCAAGTCTGACAACCTGAGTTCAGTCCTGGGATCCACTGACCTTGGAGAGTTGTCTTCTGACCTTCACACACTGTGGCACATGTGTGTTCACACACACACACTGCTAAATAAAATGTAATTAAAATTAAAATAAATGAAGTAACAACAAACGGAAAGTAGACAAATCCACAGTTATAACTAGAAATGTTCTTCCCTCCTCCTTAATAACTGGTAGAACAGATAGACAAAAAAAAAAAAAACAAGTGTAAAAAGCATTAAAAATGCCATGAACCTACTTGATCTAATCGATGTTTATAAAAGTCCTCTTGGTATCAAAATGTATATTCCTTTCAAATACTCAGGAACGCCTTCCAAGACAGGGCACACACTAGGTCACAAAACAAGTGTCAATAAAGGCAAAAGAAAATTATGCCAAGTTCTGTAGCCATAAAGGAGTGAAAGTACAAACTAACAACTCACATTTGGGAATTTACAAATAAATAAAAGTTAACCAGCATCTGCCTATACAACAAATGAATCAAGGAGGAAGTCACCAAAAAAAAAAAAATGAAGGTTACTGAAAAATAAAAATTCAGAATACCAAAGCTTATGGAATTGTCCCTAAAGCTATATTTAGAGGGACATGTACAGCTATAAATGTCTACATTAAAAGTAAAAATGTGAAATCAAAAGCCCGACCTTCCTCCATTTTCTAAGTGCTAGACAGGAAAATCAGGAGTTGAAGGTCATCTGCCACTACATAGTGAATTTAAGGCCAGTCTGAACTATGTAAGACCAAGTTTAAAAAAAAAAAAACACAAAAAGTAGTTTACTAGCAAAGTCATTTCTTTCTTTGTTTTTTGTTTTTTCTTTTCTTTCTTCTCTTTCAATGTCAGCCAGCATTTGGCAACTTGTGCGTCATTCACAGTCTACAGAAGAGATAATTGTGTTGCTCCCTCAGCAATAAACATGATAATTTATAAAGTTGATAGCTGAAAGGAGGCTTATAAAATTAGTAACAAAAAGGGTGAAATGCAATAATCAAAAATGGCAATGATAAAATGAAATTTCATTCAGACATAAGTAGAGTATAAAAGAAATAGCCGCTTATGGAAATGTTGAGACCACTTCCATTTGAGAGACTTCAGATACACAGCCAGAAGAGTTTAGGGTAAGGACATTTGGAAACCGGTTTTCAAGACAAGAAGAAAGATGTCACAGCAGGAGTGACACTGTCAGGAAACTTCACATTAAAAGAGTTCTTGGAGGTAACACACATTATTGAAAGCACAAGGATGAAAAGTTAGAAGCCATGGAAAGCTAGAGCATGACATGTCACTAAGGTATTGAAAAGATGCTTGCTACATATTCTCCAAAAGGATGCAGATGTTAGCCCAACCTTGCACCTTACATCTGCAATCCAACACTAGGGAGGTGGAGACAGGAGGGTCAGGAAATTCAGGGTCGCCCTTAGCTCCATAGTGAGTTTCAGGCCAGCCTGGGCTACAGGAGACCTTACACTTAAAAACCAGGTCATGGAGGGGGAAGTGTAGTTCAAGCTACTCTTAAATTTAAAAAACAAAGCATTCTAATGTCCATTGCTTCCGATTCATTCATTTCTTTATTTGTTCATTTATTGCAATCCTGGGTATTGAACCTAGGGCCCTGTGCACGTGGGCAAGTGCTAAAAAACTAAGCTACATTCCCAGGCCCTTTGTTGCTGACTTTTTAAAATTACAATGCTAAATAAGCACCGATTTTAATATTTTTTCATTCCCTTCTCCATGTGTAGCAAATACAGTTTAATGTTTTGACAGAATTTGTCAAAGCTTACCCAACCATCATAATTTCTCTCTGTGATTGATATCCCCAGCCTCCAGCTGCACAGTAACCTGTGCCGTGTTGCACTGCATAAAGAGACTGCCTGTCAGTGCTTAACCTCTGCTCCCAAAAGTCTCAAGTAGAATTCATTTTCATTTGAAAGGGCGCATGTCTCTTCACGGGAAGCCGAGAACTGGATAGGGACATGGGCGCCTACGTTCCTTGCCCCAGGGCTGAGGCAGTCTCTGTCTGTCTTATTAGAACAGTCAGGACCCTTCAGATGTGGTCAGTGGTACAGCGCCTGCTTAGCACTTGTGAGGCGTGGGTTTAAGAGCCAGCAGTGCACCCAGAACAAAGTAGAATGCTGGACCCCATGAGTTCTCCTTCTGCTGAGTTGGTCAGCGGGGGCTTGGTAAAACTAGTGTGAATATTAAGTGCACTACTAAAATCTGTCTTCAGCTTTTGTCACTTATGGGAGATATTTTTTAAAGAAATACTTATAGGCTGGTGTTTAAATGGATTTTTTTCTTTTAATTGTCTTAACTAAAACTACAGTATGAAGTGATGGTCTAACTTTTAAAGTTTTGGGTTTTTTAGGTTTTAGTTTTCTTTTTTTATTATTAATTTTTTTTTTAAGTTTAAATTTAGATTAGAAACATGGTTGCTTCACAAGTCAGTTCCAGGTCCCTCTCCCTTTCCCTCCCCTCCTCCCGTACCCTCCCCCAACTCCCCCATTATCCCCTCATTTCCCCAGGGAGGGTGAGGCCCTCCATGGGGGTGTCCATAGACTGTCATTTCATCCAGGGCAGGGCCTAGACCCTCCCCCCAAGAGTTCAGGGTGAGAGTTCATCTCAGATTGTTGGATGGGAGTCCAAAGTCCATGTGTATACTCGGGATGAGTACTGATCTACTGCCCAAGGCTCAATAGATTACCTAGGCCTCCTCACTGGCACGCACATTCAGGGGGTCTTGATCAGTCCCATGCTGGATTCCCAGGCATCAGCCTGGGATTCAAGAGTTAACCCTTGTCAGGTCAGCTGTTTCTGGGGTTAAACCAGCCCAGTCTTAACTCCTTTGGTCATCAGTCCTCCCTCTCTGTTACTGGCTTTCTTGAGTTCAGTTCAGTGTTTAGCCGTGGGAGTCTGCCTCTGCTTCCATCAGCCACTGAATGAAGTTTGTTTCCCAGACTCTCTGACCATGGGATTCTAGGCTGGCATTCCCCAGATCTATGTCTAAATTCCATATATGAGAGAGTACATGCCATGTTTCTCTTTTTGTGACTGTGTTACCTCACTCAGGATGGTTTCTTCTAGTGTCATCCATTTGCCTGCAAATCTCAGGATTCCATTGTTTTTTCCTCTGAATAGTACTCCATTGTGTAAATGTACCACATTTTCCCTATCCACTCTTCGGTTGAGGGGCATCTAGGTTGCTTCCAAGTTCTGGCTATTATAAACATAAAAATACGTTTGTACATAAAAATATGGAACATAAAAATATGGAACGCTTCACGAACTTGCGTGTCATCCTTGCGCCGGGGCCATGCTAATCTTCTCTGTATCATTCCAATTTTAGTATATGTGCTGCCGAAGAGAGCACAGGTTTTAGTTTTCTAAAACTATTTTGTGTGTGTACAAATGTCCAGTGTGCACAGAGAGGTCAGAAAAGAAATTTGAGGAGTCAGTTCGCACTTCCTTCATGCCTGTCCTGAGGACTGAGCTCAGGCCGTGAGGCTTAGCAACAAGTGCCTTTCCCTGCTGGCCCTGTTCTAACTTTTTTGTAAACAGCAGTTACACTTCGTTTTTTAAAAATGTTAGTCACTACAAAGAAAATGAACATTTATGAAGTACTATGTGCCAGCAGCATCCTAGCTACTCTAAATGTATGGAAATATATAGTGTCTTGATTTATACTGAAACTGGCTTTTATATTGGCACAAATTAAGCTAAACAAATACTATATTACTTGAGTTATTTAATGGTTACACCTTTTAAGAGCTTTCACTAAATAATTGACTGAAAAATGCTCAGTTAATAGCAAGATACAAAATTTGGGGGGAATTAAAGTCAAAAAAATCTGAGAGTTGTGAAGACATTTGAAAGTAAAAAGCTAGTCTTGCCCCCCAGTGTTCTCAAAGCTGGACCTGACCCCTTCCCTCCCAGGCACAGCTGCACTGGCATAATGGCCCAGCTTTCCAAGTCTGACTTTCCCTCTCCAAACTTTTGTCACTAAACGTAAGTTTGTATGCGTGTATCTGAACTGTATATCATTTTAATAACCTGAAGCATATTTGACCAGAAAAATATTAGAGGGGTGGAAATGAACTTATCATCAAGATACAGTCTATGTAGATATGTGGGTTCCACATACCTGATGGTTTTTGTTGACAGACCTCATGCAGAGCTTTCTGTGTGGTTTTGTTGTTTGATCTCATCGTTGCCCCGCTTTGGTCTTTAAAGTGATTCAGCATATCTTCCATCTCATTTGCTATGACTTTTTCTTCTTGTCTGAGTCTGCAGAGACTTGGCTACACATCAGAAGTTTTTGTGTAAAAGTTTGGGGTAGATCTGTGTGGCTATTGTCTGTCATTTTTCTTAGCGAATGCTCTATAGGGTGGTATTTTCACTATGACCAGTACATGGAACAAATAAACTGTGTTTGCCAAGCAGAAGTGTTCCTAGGGTTACTTTTGACTTTGTTGTAAATCTAGTCCTTGTTGGGAGTTGACATTCTACCTGTCTTTAGTCCTCAGTTCCAGCCATTGCTTAGTTATGAAGCAGAGGCTGCTGCAGGCTTCTTGACACAGATTATTACCTCCTCATACTGTGCTTTTATCTCTTTCCGAACATACTCTTTGCTTGGAGCCTCTTCCTCCACCACTATCAGGACAGGGTCTCAGTGTAGCCTAGGGTGGCCTCAAAGTCACTATGGAGCTGAGGGTGACTTTGAACCCCCAATTCTCCTTTCTCTATCTCCCAATCGCTGAGGTCACAAACAGGTACCATCATACTCAGTCACCATAATTTTCCAAAAGATGCCTTTTCCCGATACCGAGATGACATGAGCTTCAAAGAATAGCTAGCCCCAATATGTGCATGATATTTGTGGGCAGTATGTCTTCCAGATCATGCTGCACCTCGACTGCTTTCGAATACAAATGTCCTTTCTGTTCATCAGTATTCCCATATGAAAACAGACACGCAGCTCCTGTCTGAGCTGTCCCTAGTGTGTGCTGAGTACATGTAACAGTCTCTTCACAGGCGTGTGTTTTCTCAGATCTCTGGTTGTGCTTTCATGTTCTATTCTTTGATACTCCTTTTTGCCTCTCTTTTTTTTTCATTATTAAATTTGGTTTAAAAACCTGGAGACTAGTAAACTTTTCACCATAGTAGCTAAGTAAACACAATTTGACACCAGAAAGACTTTGTTTGAAGGTTGGAATATTGCCTTCACAAACTACTCACCGTGTAAAAGTTTTGTGACTTAAACTCAACTATAAAGAAAAGGACTGCAGCTACATTAAGGTTTTATGTGGATCAGATGAAATGACACTCGGTGCTTAGCACAGATGCTGGCATCTAGAAGTAGTGTGTTTTATCTATATCGAGTCACTGCCACCATTACCAGGGTGTCCCCTGGCAAGACCACAATACCTTCAGGTGGGTTAAGGGCATGAAGAAGAACCATTCTGGAAATGGCATCATGCATGTGAGCAACCGCTTCCACAGTAGATGTCTATGGACTGTGATTGTTTAGCACATTCCCTCAGATTGGATAGTGAGTGCTCATAACACAAGGGTCTCTATGGGAAAGAAGCACATAAAAAGAGACATAGAGAGTGCAGACGTGTCCACGGGCCAGCTACCAGTTACTAACGCCCACTTCAGAATTCAGTGTTCCGACTTCAGGGGCGGGGTGTGCCATGCTTCTTATTTAGAAACACAGTGTGCCAGGTAGGCCGGCTGCCAGGTCATGCCTGCATTTTATCCTACAAGTTCCTGCTGTGTCCAGTATTGCACTAGGTAGTATTGGAGTATAAGATGAAAAAAACAGTCTTTGTCTCCAGGATCTCGTGGTCCAATGGTATGGATCTATTTAGAAGAAAACTTTATGATAAAACAACTATTAAACTTGGCCATTTTTTTTATGTCAACAGACATCTTTCCACTCAATAACATTTTTCAAAAAACTGATAATTTTGGGAACTAAAGCAATGACTCAGCCTTTAAGTGTGTGAGCTATTCTTGCAGAGAACCCAAGTTCAGTTCCCAACACCCACATTGGACAGCTCAAAACTGCTTGGAACTCTAGCTCCAAAGAATCCAACACCCTTTTCTTACCTCTGTGGACACCTGGGCTCCTGTACATACATGCACACACACACACACACACACACTTTAAAATATAAATACTTGTAATCAATCCTTTTTAACTGTATTGTTTTTGTAATAAAAGTTAATGGCAGTTAGAATATAAACATTGCTGCTCTTGGCTAATGTCCTGAGAACTGGGAAGTTGGGAGGGAACACTGTTTTGTTAGAAAGCACTGACCTTAGAATCATCATTCACATCTCCTGAAATTTCACTTAGGTAAAGGTTTTATAGGAAGTTGTACTAAAATAATAGTCAGATGGTATATAAATTAAAGACTATCCATGAAATCCTTCCCATCTCCCTTTCTCTCTCTGACACAGTTGTTTTCACCTCTCCAGGTTTTGTCTTTTTTTTCTTCCATTTTCCGTGTGTGTGTGTGTGTGTGTGTGTGTGTGTGTGTGTTGGGAATTATCTTCAATTGTTCTTACCTCTTTGTGGAAGCAGAGTCTCTCAGTCAAACTCAGAGCTCACAGATTTGACTTGTTTTGCCAATCACATTGCTCTGGGATCCCATCTCTCCCTTCCAAGACTGGAATTGTAGGCCAACTTGGCACTGATGTGGGTTTATGGAGAGCTGAACTCCAGTCCTCGTGCTAATTTGTAACAAGCACTTTAACCACTGAGCCATCTCCCTGGTCCCCCAAGGTTTTCTTTTCTTAGGGGCCTTTATTGAGTTGGACAAATGATTCAGCAATTAAGAGAGCGTACTGCTTTCTCAGAGGACTGGGGTTCAATCCCCAGCACCCACATTCAGTCACCCACAACCACCTGTAACTCCAGCTCCCAGAGTACCCTTGGGCACCAACACTCACGTGCACCCACAAGCACACACATGCATAAGCATAATAAATCATGTTTTAAATGAGGCTATCTTAGTTCTTGAGCCAGCTTTAGTAGGTGGAGAATGGAATGCCTTTAAAGTGTTGTAACTGAAGCCAACTACTTTTTATACGAAAATAGGCATTTCTTGATTTCTTTTTGCTCAGAGTGTGACACAGCCCCAGGGAAAACCAAATTCTACCCTGAGCTGGGACCTAGAGCTTCATGAACTAAAGAGAAAAAATTTAGAAGCCCTAAAGCTCACTAGACAGTAAGCTCTCAGAAATTTGAAAGGACTGGGTCCAACTTGCATAAGCGTCTAGCTCCAAAGGCCTACCCACTATCTCATTTCTGATACTGAATCCTGGGTTTGTTTTCAAACTGAATGTCAGTTTAGACGTGACCTTAAGATTTTTCATGGGCTCTTGTTTTCTTTTCAGCCAGATTTATGAATCTCAAGTTTATAAAACACTGCTGTTGCTTCAGCCCATTTTAGGAGTCATCCAGAAAAATCCAAAATGTTCCCTAATTCCAATGTCTGAACATTCTTACTATGTTATCAAACTTCAAGACTGCATATAATTTGTTCTAATCTGTTTTCCTAGCTTTCACGTAATTTCTATCCAAGATGAATAGGCCTGTTGCTACAATTTAGTTGTGTTGAATTGTTTGGCTGTAACTTAAGTGGTAATGGAGACCATTTGCAAGCTGTGGAATCTGCTCTGTTTGGATCTAGCAGCTGGCTGCTTTCAGTCTCTTCTTGGAGCTTTTCTTTTGCATGGACTGGGAGGGTGGGAACAGCGGTGGAAGAAAGCAGGCCACTTTATTTAATACTCTGTGTTTGTTTGCTGACTCGGGTAATAGCTTTGGACAGCTATTTGAGCAGCTGCTTTTTAAATGTCCTTTTGTTTACTGTGTAGGTTTTTAAAGCTTGCCCTTAATCCGTACTTGTCTACTCTTTAACTGGTGCTCCTCCTTTGGTAAATATAGTTTAACGTGTTCTACCCCTGTGACCTACGCATACTCTGATGATATAAGCTAATCTACTAAAAAAGAATTTTAAAATTTCATAGGTCAAACCAAAAGTGGCTTATATGTCCTTGTTGTCTTTATTTATTATAATTATTTTTTAATTTGACAAATGTTACCTTTTGAGATTAAATTAGAATTTCAGTTGTGTTAAACCACAGTTTATATTAGCTCTCAAAGTCTTCTAACAAGTAGTTTAGTCTACATACTCCACACAAGTTAAAAAGAAAAACTAGCAGAGTAATTAAATGAATGTGTCTGTGTGTGTGTGTGTCTGTGTGTGTATAATTGCATTTTGTGAAATTTAAGTAGGAAGTATACAGACCCATATGAAATAAAAAGATACATGTGGATTTATTTGTCAGACGCCTTAGTGTGTTTACGTAGACTTACTGTAAATGTCTTCATATTGAGTGAGCATTTTATCCTGTGTTTATATACAGGTGAGAGACCTGTGCATTGCTTATATGCTGGTGACACTGACTTATCTCTATATTGGTTTCCTGGTTTTTGCCTCATTTCCTTCACCTCCATTATCCAAAGATTGTATCGAACAGGTAAGGTGCTGTGTACACTTGTGTGATTTTGCGTGTGTACCAGGGAGAACAATACAGGAACCAGAGGAGTCAGGCCTGGACTTGAATGCCACCTCCACCTTCCCTGTCCTCTTCCAGGTTTCGATTTTTCTTTTGCATCAAGTAACATAATACATGCAGGCTCCATCTATCTGATGGATTCTAGAATAGAGTTCTGCTTGTTATGCTCAAATGCAGCTACTCTGCAGCTTGTTATGCTCAAATGCACCCTCATGTACATGCATTTCCCTTTGTACAGACCATGGTTACCAGTGTTCACATGGATTTCTAAAACCTCCACCGAGAATCCACACAAGTCCCTGATTTTCAGAAGCTTGCTTGTGGGAATGTCCTGGATGAACTGGCTTTAACTCATTGGTCTTTAAGGACAGATAGGACTCTTCTTTAGAGACTGAGTAACACAGAGCAAAATAAAGCAGACCATTTAGCTATTAAAACGTGAGAGTCAGAAACAGTAAGAGAGAAATCCTTCACTAAACAGTTGTAGTGAAACTTTGGGGTATTAAAGAATTTCTCATGAAGAACAACATTTCACAGGTGATTTTCTAGGAGTCTAGTGCTCGTGTGTCTAGTCGGTTGCAAGGTGTGTTTCAGCAGTGTTGATAGGTTCTCTGCAAGGAGTCAGGGCTGTTGCTGTGTGGTGGCTGGACATGTCCTCCTCTTCATTGTGTGGTTTGTGCAAGGAGTCAGGGCTGTTGCTGTGTGGTGGCTGGACATGTCCTCCTCCTCATTGTGTGGTTTGTGCAAGGAGTCAGGGCTGTTGCTGTGTGGTGGCTGGACATGTTCTCCTCCTCATTGTGTGGTTTGTGCACGTTCTTTGGCAGCCAAGTGTTTGCTGAAAACTTCCCTGATATGAATAATCCCACATAAAGATGACTTCCCTGGGAGTGGGAATATTTGTGGCATTCATAGTTGGAAGGGAAAATGTAATTCTGAGTTACTAACTTTTTCAGATACCAAACTGAAATGAAGAAAACAAAAGTGAATCCTTTCTACTTAGTGCTAGACTAAGCATTGATGACACCAGGTGACAGATGTCCTCTCACCATGCACACTCCTTGAAGTGCTGCAGTGTCTGTCTGTGGAGGAAAAGCAAGAGAGCTATAGTAAAGATGCGATGCATTGAATTTAGTTTGCTATTTAAATAAACCAGGGACAAATTTACTTAGTGTAAATGAACTTTTTAGAGCTGGTTTTCTTGGTCTGTCTGTTGTGAAGAACAAGGTTTTTTCATTGTTTTAATGTTGACTCATTTTCAGACCAGAACATTCATAAAGCAGAATATGCCAGTGTTTTTAATCGATTTCTATATAAGTTTTGGTTTCTGTACTCACCTCTTGACAAATAGTTAGCAAGCCATTTGTAGATGGCCATCAGCATATAAACCACTCTTTGGGTATTGCCTGTGTTCGTGCTAAACAGAAAGTGTTGTGAATTTGAATGTACTGCACTGAGTGTTGACATGATTCCGTTGTCTTTCTTGGATTAGAACTTCTTAGACAACTTCCCTAGCAGTGACACCCTGTCCTTCATTGCAAGGATATTCCTGCTGTTCCAGATGATGACTGTCTACCCACTCCTAGGCTACTTGGCTCGTGTTCAGCTCTTGGGCCATATCTTCGGTGACGTTTATCCTAGGTAAGGGTTCTTCTCTTGACCAGCAAGATGTGCCAAGCAACAAATGACTGTGCAAACAGGTCAGTTTAAAGTTTAACTGATCCTTTTGCTATAAAAAACAATTTTGCCTAATGAAAATGGTTACTAAGGATAGATCATAAGGTCCTTTTCCCAGAAGAGCTTTAAATAGAGATGCCACTCCCTTGACCGGGTCAATCTGGTGTCCATCCCTTCCAGGAGAGTCACTTAGCTCTGATGTCTATTATTATCTATGTGAGGATTTAACTGCTATTAAGTACACCTTGCCAATACTTTCATTATTAATATTAATACACGTATGCTTATTGATAGCTGTACATTTCTATAGAAATGCTCAGTTGTGTAGAATTGAAGATGAAACATAGAATGAGTTTAAATTCTTATTTCATATATAACATGAAATTTATATTTATATTTATATTTATAGAATGAGTTTAAATTGCTATGGGAAGTTTAGCCTTTTAATGGCCTAGAGGAATTGCACATCCTTTTGAAAAAGATCTGTTCAGGTTGCTACCCTTATCCAACAGAAATTTCCATGTAATATAATTGTGTCTCCCAGCTTTCCTGAAGATTTCTCACAGTCCCCTGGTTAATGTTACAAAAGCAAAAAGTATCTAGCCTTGTTTTATTGGAAATAAATTAGCTTTGGGAGGGGAGATATTTGAGACAAGGTATTGCTGTGTGGCCAGAGCTAGCCTCAGCCTCCCAAATGGTGGGCTTGTAGGTGTGAGTGGAATAAATATTTTAAAGGACAAAAACTTGTAAATACAATACATGAAAACATTTATAATAACATACTAAACAAGAGTTTAATTAACTCTTAAACAATATTAAACAAATAGTTCTTGTTTGTAGTCTGTCCCCTCATGAAATAATTCAAGAGCTATCAGGTATTCTTGGTACATTGATACGATGGCCTCTTGTACATTAATGAGTAGCAAGCTACAGTTTTAACTGCTAATCTAGAACACTGGAGTTCAGAAAAAAAACAAAGTTTCTGTTTGTTACTCCATTAGCTCTACTGTATTTGTTTCACAAAAATAAATAAAGTAAACCCAGTGAAGTCATAGATGAAATATTTCTTGACTAATGCATCCCTCCTTTCTTCAGCTGTTTTTTGTTTTTTTGGGTTTTTTTGCTGCTTTTTTGAGACAGGGTTTCTCTGTGTAACTCTGGTTGCCCTGGAACTTGCCATGTAGACCAGGCTGTCCTCAAACTCAGAGATCACCTGCCCCAGGATCCCAAGTGCTGGGATTAAAGACTACCATCCAACTTTTTTTCTTTCTTTTCCTCTTTTTTTTTTTTTTTGGTTTTTCAAGACAGGGTTTCTCTGTATTGCTTTGGAGGCTGTCCTGGAACTCGCTCTGTAGACCAGGCTGGCCTCGAGCTCACAGAGCTCCGCCTGCCTCTGCCTCTCGAGTGCTAGGATTAAAGGTGTGCGCCACCAACAATGCCCGGCTCATTTTCATTATTTTAATGAAGACCATTAGAGTGGTTTTACTTCTTGGGAAAAAGTCTAAGCTCTACCTTTTGTGATCACATGATGTCTTCCCTGTGATAAGAACACACTGTCATTTGTCCTACAGTTGCATGTTTCACAGGCAGTGCATGAGTTTTTTAAACTCAAGACTTCTTCATACTCTTCAACTTTATTGAGTATTACCATGAGCTTTAATTTTCAAAGGCGCATTATCAATATTTAATGGAAAAAATTAAAACTAAGAATTTTAAGGTTTTTATTGATTCCTTAAAAGTCAGTAAGTCCAAACATAGCAACTCACACCTGTATTCCCATCCAGTTAGGCAGTAGAGGCAGGAGAGCCTCAAGTGTGAGGCCAACTTGGAAAATAGGTGCAGCATTCTTGAGACCCTGGCTTCCCCTTCAAAAATTATAAGTCAAACTATTATTTGTTAACATGAATAACATTTTTATAAAAAATAACTGATCCCCCCCAAATTGTTTTACAGTTAAAACCCCTTTAATGTCTGCTTTCTGGTTGACAGTTGAAGTCTGTTTCTGCATTGTCTGTTATACTATTATTTCATTTAAATATGTGAAGAAAATTCAGCCTCATGTAGATGTATAGTTGGAAAAGAAGAGGTACTTTTTTGTAGCCTTGTCAGATAATTGTGAATGTTCATCTTTGGTGCTGTGAAGAGTCTTGGCACAGCATAACTCCTCGTTTGCATTGTACAGTTGGAAAGCTGGTTGTCTTAAACCCAGTTGAGCTCTTTGCTTCTCTGTCCCAGAATGATGTATAACACCATATTTGTCTATATTGGTCTGCAGAGTTCTGTAGGTCCCTCAGATGTTCACACACTTTTATGTCACTAGAGCTCACATACATTAATATCACTACCTGCTTCATCCTAAAATGTCTTTACATTTTGGGAAACCATCAAGCTCACAGTAACAAATGATGAGTTCTCTAAAATCCTAGTTTTTATTTGAAAACTTGTTTGTCCCTATCAGCAACAAATACTGCCTGTTGTTTTCCTTAAAGGACAAACTCACCAACATTCATTATAGGAAATGTCAGTTCATCAACAAGTGCAATGCCTGCTATTTTGAAGAGTGGTAGCATCTGTTGAGACTACCAGAGATGTTGGTCCTGCTCTGCTGGCAGCTGTTTTTCCTCAAGACATCAATGTAGTTGAGTGTGCAAATGTGCTTGATTGCTTCCCATTTGATCACATAGAATATTAAAAAGATAATATACTCTAAGGATGAGATCCGATAAATGAAGCTTTGCTCCTTTCACCCGTTGGGTGCTGGAAATCAAACCAGGGAGCATGTTAGGTTAATGTCCCATTGAGTCATATCACCAGCCTGATCATGGACAAAGTTAATAAGTCGCTTTTTCTTGTTTTATTTTTTTCTTGGCAGTGTTGGCAGTGAAAACTCCATCATAGAATACAGATAGGTGCTCTTGCCCTTGCTTTTGTAAAGTGTGCAATATATTGTACTGTCACCAGAATAGTGTTTACCTCAAAGGCTTCCTGAAACAGAATTCATGGCCACACTTGGAGAACCAGCCTCTACTTTGGAAAATAAACAGAAGTTTTTCTTCTAGTAAAACAACAAAGGTCCAGCAAGTTGAAGGTTGAAATTATAAATAATAACATCTTGATGCCTAATATCTATAACTTATCAAGATGTATAACTACATACCATAAATAATTTTCCATACATTTTCATACACTGACAATATTCTCCCCCAAACCTTCCTATCCTCCACTTTTCTCTTTAGATTTTCTTATCTAGTGAGAATCCAACTAGCGTTTTTCCCATTTGTTTAGATAATTCTTGGTTATCTACATAAATAATGATGTTGTTTTTAATAATTTTACTATATTCTGTTAGGTAAGCTGTTGCTTTCCTTGATCTACAATTTTTTAACAAGTACTTTAATAGGTTTCTTTATGGTTTTGTTTTCTCAAGATATTCAAAATAAATTATAACTGGAATGTACACTCCGTTGCCTACTACTAGTTTGCTCCTATGAAATTTGCCTTTTTATAAAACTGGATAAAAAGACTAATTTCACTGTCTTATTACCAACATTGAGCAGTTTATTTCCGTTTTGTTGGCAAATTAATGACAATTATTTGAAAGGTGTTAAGAATGAATTTTAATTGTCCTAAAAATCGGTTATAACTTACCTGTTTTATATCTTTTCTTTCATATAAACCCTCTTCCACCTTCTAGCATTTTCCATGTGCTGATTCTTAATTTATTTATTGTGGGAGCTGGAGTGACCATGGCCTGTTTCTACCCAAACATAGGAGGGATCATAAGGTACACCTATGCACACATACTCTGTTGTCATTGTTGCTGCTGATGCTTTAATTGAATGTACTTTCTGTAAGTGTTTAATACTGGTAGTGTTCAAGTATACTTTCTGGTGTTTGTTAGGGTGCTTCTTAAATTCCATTTTTGCTGTTCTCTGGTACAGAAAGAGCTCTAGGAGCCCCACTGTCCCTCAGCTATCTTTCTCTTCTTTTTACATTTCTCATTTTCCATTGTGTTTATTTTATCTGAAATAAAAAGTTAGCTTCAAAATACATTACTTCTTCGTTGTGCCCAGGAAGCCCTTTATATGTCAACACCATGCCCATCTAACTCTTAATACATCTCTACTCAAAAAAGGGGGGAGGGTTAAAAAAGCAAGAAATTAGTTCTAAGATGGCTCTTTCTTAATATCCTTTCCCTAAAAAAGTTGTGGCATGTTGAAGATGGTACGAAAAAAATTGATGCAAACTGTCACTAGACATATTTTCAGAATAATCTGAGGCCTTCCTCCATATGAACAGCAAACTTGAGAGACATGTCTTCAAAATGGTCTGAAAATATCTTCATACAGACATGAGATTGAGTCACTGTTGTGAGAACCTTTCCTAAGAAAGCAGCAAGCAATAAAAGATAAAGTGTGCTGTGGTGTGTGTGGGAGAGTGTGTTATGTAATGTCGGTGGAAGAGAGTGCCATGTAATGTCTGTGGAATAGAGTGTTCTGTGGAGCCTGTGAGAGAGTGTTGTGTGGAGCCTGTGAGAGAGAGAGTGTTGTGTGGAGCCTGTGAGAGAGAATGTTGTGTGGAGCCTGTGAGAGAGAGTGTTCTGTGGTACCTGTGGGAGAGAGTGTTGTGTGGAGCCTGTGGGAGAGAGTGTTCTGTGGTACCTGTGGGAGAGAGTGTTCTGTGGAGCCTGTGGGAGAGAGTGTTCTGTGATACCTGTGAGAGAGAGTGTTGTGTGGAGCCTGTGGGAGAGAGTGTTCTGTGGTACCTGTGAGAGAGAGTGTTGTGTGGAGCCTGTGGGAGAGAGTGTTCTGTGGAGCCTGTGGGAGAGAGTGTTCTGTGGTACCTGTGGGAGAGAGTGTTCTGTGGAGCCTGTGAGAGAGAGTGTTCTGTGGTACCTGTGAGAGAGAGTGTTGTGTGGAGCCTGTGGGAGAGAGTGTTCTGTGGTACCTGTGGGAGAGAGTGTTCTGTGGAGCCTGTGAGAGAGAGTGTTCTGTGGTACCTGTGGGAGAGAGTGTTCTGTGGAGCCTGTGGGAGAGAGTGTTCTGTGGAGCCTGTGAGAGAGAGTGTTCTGTGGTACCTGTGAGAGAGAGTGTTCTGTGGTACCTGTGAGAGAGAGTATTGTGTGGAGCCTGTGGGAGAGAGTGTTCTGTGGTACCTGTGGGAGAGAGTGTTCTGTGGAGCCTGTGGGAGAGAGTGTTGTGTGGTACCTGTGAGAGAGAGTGTTGTGTGGAGCCTGTGGGAGAGAGTGTTCTGTGGTACCTGTGAGAGAGAGTGTTGTGGTGAGCCTGTGAGAGAGAGTGTTGTGTGGAGCCTGTGGGAGAGAGTGTTGTGGTGAGCCTGTGGGAGAGAGTGTTCTGTGGAGCCTGTGGGAGAGAGTGTTGTGTGGAGCCTGTGAGAGAGAGTGTTGTGGTGAGCCTGTGGGAGAGAGTGTTCTGTGGTACCTGTGGGAGAGAGTGTTGTGTGGAGCCTATGAGAGAGAGTGTTGTGTGGAGCCTGTGGGAGAGAGTGTTGTGTGGAGCCTGTGGGAGAGAGTGTTGTGTGGTACCTGTGGGAGACAATGTTTTGTGGAGCCTGTGAGAGAGAGTGTTCTGTGGAGCCTGTACAGGGAATCAGTGTTCTGTGGTACCTACGGAATATAATGGACTTAAAAGTTCCTGTTAAATTAATCCTCAAGAAAATGGAGGATTGCCTGTTTCTCTGTCACAAACTCATTACAGAATTTTTTTATCCTTGATAATTACACTGAATGCCACAGACCAGTTCATCTTTTCTCATTCGTACACAGATGATAGGAATTCCTCACAGATCCTGAATGACTTTATAAAGGTCAAAAGTGAAGGAGATGAGGGATGTAGTTCATTTGCCCAGCATGCACTAGGCCCTGGGTTCATCCCCAGCACCTTATATAGCAATGTGGCTTTGCAGGTTTGAAATCCTCACACTTACGGAGTAGAGGCAGGAGGATCAGAAGTTCAAGGTCATTCTGATCTGTTTAACAAATTCAAGCCATCTTGGTCTACATGAAACCCTGTATTTAAAAAAGATCAAAGATGAAAGCCTGTCTCCAGAGGTATCTGAGATTTAAGGAACGAATAAAAACTGTTTGTCATTCAGATATTATAAAGAAAGCAGGAAATAATACTTTAAACTCTAACAAGTTTTTTTTGTTTGTTTGTTTTGAGACAGCGTTTCTCGTTTAACAGCCCTAGCTGTTCTGGAACTAGCTCTGTAGACCAGGCTGCCCTTGAACTCAAAAAAACAGCCTGTCTTTGCCTCCTAAGTGCTGGGATTAAAGATGTGTGACACCACCATCTGGATGAAATATAACAAGTTTTAAACTCAAATGTCAGTAACAAATGACAAATTTTGTTGCAAAATGCGACTGAATACAATTTAAATTGTACTGTATTGACCTTAATTATAAGGCATCAAAAATGCAGCAAGATTATTAAGCCAGAATGTTTTCATTTTGCAGGTACTCAGGAGCAGCATGCGGCCTGGCTTTTGTGTTCATATATCCTTCTCTCATCTACATAATTTCCCTCCACCAAGAAGAGCGTCTGACATGGGCTAAATTAGTTTTTCACATTTTCATCATCATTTTGGGCCTGGCAAACCTGATTGCTCAGTTTTTCATGTGAAAACTGTGTTCTCAAGATTTCTCATGGTATTCTGAACCTTGGCAACGGTTTGCATAAAAGAACTTGAAAATGCTGTCACTGCTGTAATTCTAAGTGTTTTTCTAAGATAACTGAAGCAAGGGAATGATGGTCTGCTGATTACTATTTTTGTACTGGAGCAGGGAGGGAGTGATGCAGATGGTCTGAGCCCTTTGCCTTTCTCAGTGCCTCCCATTCCCATGCAGCAAGTAGAAACTTCAGAGGATTCATACTGATTCCTCTATTGATAAGATGGGTGGGTGTGCTTTGCCTGCAGCAAGGAACCTCAGGGGTCTTGGGTCCAGGCAGTGTGTTGCCAGACCCTGTTTCCGTTTCGGTGTGCTCTCGTCCACTTTCTTTCTTACTAGAACGTTTCTACAGCTTACCCAAACCTCTGCTGTTTTAAACAGTGAAACAAATACCTCATTTAAGAGAACTTTCCATGGCATCATTAATGAGTGAATTCCTAACCAAATACTTAATCTGAAGAACAAAAAAAAAGAAATTTAAATAGTATCAATCCATCAGAAAATGCATGTAAATTAAGGCCAATGGCCTAGTTGGCATGAGTCAGTGAGCATTAGATGTCGGGGGTTAGAGGATCCAGAGTTTAGGTCATCCTCAGTTGCATGACCATGAAGCCAGCCTGACTACATAAAGCCTTGTCTCAAGATCCCAGAAGAAAAGACAGGAAAACAAAAAGAAAACGCGTGGTAGATAAACTTGTGCAGAGTGTGTTGCTGTCTGACTCTTAATTTAATCCAGTTCCAGTGACCTAGATTGAGGTAATAGTTCCCAAACCGGATCTTACACATGAACAAATGCAATTGTCCTCAAAGACCCGGAGACTCTTACTTCTCATGTTCTGGAGAATTGCATGGACTGTCACAATCCCAGAGCGGCAGCATATCAGGCTCTTCAGAAGAAAAATAGAATATCTAGGAAAGTTGGGACTCTGCCCAGTGTATCCTGTGTCATTCTGGTTCAGGCTCCAGGAATGGACACCATCTACCTGCTCCTATAACGGGAGAGGAAGAATTTTCCTCCTCAAGAAAAAGCTTGTGTCTGACAAGAAGATTGATAAACCCACGTTCTTAGAGTTAACATCTATTTCCCTTCTTAACTAAAGCAGAATCAGAATCCAGATGTCTGTCTTCCGTGTAACACAGCCTGCATTCCGACCACAACTACTAACATTTAGAGCTCTCTGACTTGGGGCTAAATTGTGTAAAATGTATCATGATTCCACTTCCGAGGACAGTGTGCAGATTTGTGTCATGTCCTTCCAGGTGAAAGGGTTTTATGAACCTAGAAGGAGCTCCAGATTTCAGAGCAGCTTTAATTTCTTTCCATGTAGCTTAGCATCCTGTTGGAGTTCCAGGTCTATGTTTATAACAAGCTGTCTCATCATGAGAACTGTCAAGCACGCACACAAATAGAATGATATAGAAAACCCACACGCACCCATCCCTGGATGCAGCAATTACTGACTTGGCTGAATTTGCTTCACCTGCTCCCTCCCGCTTTTTTCTTTCCTATTGACACATTTAAAAACCAATCTCAGACATTATGTCATTTCATTTCTACAAACCTTAATATCCAGCTAATAGCCCAAGCTTTACACCTAGTCAATTTATCATGGAGTCTCAAAAGCTCTAGCCAGCAGAAAGTGCTGTAGAACTCATGTTGCAGGGGGAAGCACCTTTATGCTTGAGAAACTCTGGAACTTGCAACTCCAGAGTCGAGTTCTGCTGAGAGGCGTTTGGAGATGCTCCCAACTTAACGTCTGTATATTCGTGGTAGTTTCTTTTGTCTTCGAGAACTTTAGGAACCATTTTCATGGCTTTTTTCTCAAAGGCATTCCTGAATGCTCTAGCACATCAACGGTGTGTTATGCGTCAACAGTCAAGGATGATTGGTGTTTGTCCTTCTCACAGATAAAAGGAATATGGCAGGGGATGCCACTCTGAACAAAAAAGGGTCTGGATTTACGCTTTTGTTTTCTTAAAGAGGTTGATCATCTAGACCTCCTAACTGTTAGACAAGCCAAATGGCTCCGGCCCCTTAGTCTCTTCACAAGGCTCCTTTGGCCTGTCACTTGGCTTAGACTGCATGAGTGCATGTCCTGACTGACTCATGGTGAGAATAATGCAATGTGAACTTACACTCAGTGAATCTGACATTCCTTCTTTACTCTCATCTCTGAGCTTTCTAGCTAAACTTCTTCCACTTTTTGCTCCAATGTGGTTAGCCTTTGAATTTAGCTTCTTTAACACACAACTGAGGACACTAAAATTTAAAAGGAGTTTTTTTAGAGAGGTCCTCCTTAGAAATCCTGTGGATGAGCCGGATGATAGCCAGGTGGTGGTGGCGCATGCCTTTAATCCCAGCACTCGGGAGGCAGAGGCAGGTGGATCTCTGTGAGTTCGAGGCCGGGCTGGACCGACAGCCTCCAAAACAATACAGAGAAACCCTGTCTCGTAAAAACCAAAAAAAAAAAAAAAAAAAAAAAAAAAAAGAAATCCTGTGAATGTGTTTGGGCTCTGCTAGCAGTAAATCAGAAAGGGAAAAAAATGGAGCTAAGTTTTATACCTGCGGGTGATCGTGCAAAGTCATTATCATCAGCACACTGCAAAAAAAAAATGTGATTGGAATAAGGAATAAATGTACCCATTGGAAGAGACTGTCTTAAGGGAGCTACTCCATTTACATTAAATGTGTTTTAGAAATGCTATGCAGCTACTGATTGCCTGCCGCCATGGGCTTGTTTTCTGCTTCTACTTGAAACTTACCAAGAAAATGTTTGTGTGTTTTTAATTATCATTCCCATAATTATTCTGTTTAAATATTTGAATAGTCAGCAATGTTCATTACTTTGAGGAGCTAAAGACGTGTAAGGCAGCATGTACATCCTAAAGGGACTGTTAGTCTAGTGAAGAAACAGTGCGCTTGCTCACCAGCACACGGGGCAGTTCATGCTGGGACTGTTGGAGCAGCGTGGTATTCTGGGGAGGAATGGCAGAGGAAGAAGGACTGTCCAGAGGCAAAGGACCCACTTTCAGGTTCTTCCTACTTCCCAAAATTGCATCCACTGCGCTCACCAGCAAATAGAATGATATGTTACATGCATTCGCTTTTATTGGGCAGATTTCCTCTAAATAATAATTGTGACATTTAATTGCTTCTTTATATGATTATTTTCTCTTCTTTATTATCGCTAAAGTATTTAATTCCTATGGCTCTTGGATAAAAAGCATAATTGGTTAATATGGGATGTAATTAGTAGTACACTGGGTGCTATAAACAGATTCTATAAACTTCAAATTTTTAATTTTTTTAAATATGAATATTCAAAATGTCAAATGTTTACATTCATTAATGTAATAGTATTTTGCTTTGTTTCTGTTACCATGATAAAATACTATGAACAAAAACAAGAATGTGTTTTGGCTTACAGTTCCAAAGAGGGAGTCCAAACAGCCAGGAGGCAAGGGAGCAGTAACAGCAAGGCTGGCCAATCCCATCTTCCCTGCACATAGGAGACCAAGAGTGCAAGCACTGAGTATAAACTCACAGCGTGCCCCTTGTGATGCATCCCCTCCAGCAGTGTTTCATTCCCTAGAAGTTTCAGAAGCTCCCCAAACAATGGGTCCCCAAACCAGTTGACGACCAAACATTCAGACCCTTAAGCCCACGGGGAGTTTTCTCGCGGAAACCCTGGCAGTCGATAATAGCAGAGAATGGCATGCTGGCTGTTTTCCTTACCCATTTGCTTTTTAGAAGTTGATGGTGATTTGTGTTTTGTGTTAACTTGACTTTATATTAATTTTAATGTCCAAAAACAAATCCAAGTCAAGTTGGTGTCTAACAATAGTGTGTCATCAGTCTGTGATCCAAAATGAAATGAATCCCCTATGTCACACACACTGACCCGGCTGGCCCCCCTTTCACAGTCCGCCGCCGCCAGCCTCACTTAAGATTGTATAAACACATATTATAAAACAGCTCTGATGGGAACCTCAGAATCCAAACAGTATTCTCCGATATGTGATTTATTTTTATAGAAAAAAGGAGTTAAATAAATCAGAATTATTTTGAAGAAAAGTATCTCTGGGACTTTGTTTAGTAGAATTTGGTTAGGAAATACTATCACCTCCCAGCTCTGGCCACAGGCAGAAACTGCTAGGTTCCACATCTCTCAAGTGAATGTCCTGTGTCTCATGTCAGACTATGAGGAGCCTTCCTAAGGTGACCATCTCCAGAAACCGTGCTCTTCAGGCAAGTGTTACCCAGCTTCTAGCCAAAACCTCTGGAAAAGTCTTAATTTCCAGAACCTCTTAAGCCAATAAAGAACCCTAATTTTCTGACTTCTTTAAGTAAAATTACTTTTTCCCACCAAATATCATTTGTTTCTTGATTTCTCAACTTTTCTGGAAAGTTAAACTAAGACTGTTTTTTTTTTACGAGACAGGGTTTCTCTGCATTGTTTCGGAGGCTGTAGGTCCAGCCCGGCCTTGAACTCACAGAGATCCGCCTGCCTCTGCCTCCTGAGTGCTGGGATTAAAGGCATGCACCACCACCGCCCGGCCCAAACTAAGACTGTTTTTAAAAATTGAAAGAGCCAATCTGTTTACCTCAGACTGTGCCTCATAGTCCCAGAGTAGCAACGAGGAGGTTCCACTCCCCTTTGACTCTCAGTCCCAAACAGTCCAGTAATGTTTAGTCACAGCAGGCTTCAGGATACACTTGTTTAGTTAACTAGTCAAGATTCCACTTAAATGGAAAATAACATTAGGTGCTATTATCTAGGATTTTCTTACAGCTCCCCTAAATACTGGGGTGGCGGGGCTAGAGGTGCAGCTTAGTGGTACACTTGTCTAGCAAGCATGAGATCCCAGCACTACAAAAAGAAAATAAAAAATGGGTCAGTAAGGTTCCAGATTAATGATTCAATACTTGAGTACTTAGGGAATAGCTGACCTTTGTTAAGCGCTGAGCATGCCGGGAGAGCAGGCAAGGTGTGCCCCTGGCAGTGCAGCAGCCTTTGTCCTCCCT